TCAGTTTGTCCCACTTTTAGCTGGACTTCATAAAAACAGGCTTCAAAACTCACCAGCTACAAGCTTCAGCACCATCTAGTGGACAAAATTTCCATTGCGCTTTAGAAAAATTGAAAAAAGGTCTAAAGTCACTTTTCAAGCTCTAATTGGAGCATGTTGGACTACAGGAGGGAGGAGGCCATGCAGGACGGACTGAAGAAAGCGGTGGGTGTTCCGCTGTCCCTGGCTGAGAAAGTGACCGCGCTGTGGCCAGCGCTGAAAGAGATCGTTCGCTACGGCAACGTGGCCTGCAAATCAGATGCACAGGTGAGAGAGGGCGAGAGAAAGAGCTATAGATGGTGCACGCAAAATAAAATATTGTAGAAATGTATATCTCCACCTTTCACCTCCCCGTCTCCACCATGTTCCTCAGTTCTCTCATGCAGTCATATTTCTTATCATCGAGGGGAAGTTCGGCCTGCAAGCTTAAGCAGAAACTGCCCAGCCCTCCCTCTCCTCCTACAGTCATACAATCTCTTAGCACTAAAATCACTTTTGTATGCATCATTGAAAGGGAGGAAACCCACACCAGCAGGATCTCTCTAATGCATGTATGTTTGTGGTTACAAATTTCATGTATATGAAGTAAAATTAAATGTTTGATGTTACAATTTGCATTTATGCAAAATAAAAGGTTTGTTTAACTACGTCTATGGCTGAACAGCTTAGCACACTTGCTGACAAGCTAACAGGCTAACAGACTCCGCCAGCAGTATTCCGAGTTAGGCTTCACCGAAAGATTCCCTGTAAGAAAGCAATCTGAATGTAATGCAACTGTTACAAGCTTCAAATGCTTCAAAATGCCTGGCTAAGCAGTATTAAACCCTGTGTGGGAAGTGAGCACCACTGCTAGCTTGGTGCTAACGAAACACTGGAATTCCTATAGAGGTATTAGTGGATATTAGCATTATTTAGGTGGCACTCAGGCTACTTATAAAGTGAACATTTTTGCAGTAAAGACTGCTTTACAATGATAATGAGTGGTGAAAGGGGAGGGGTGAGAAGCCCCTGCTGTGAAAAACAATTCACACCTCTCCACAAAGATGGCCGTACTGAGATAAAACAGACAACTGCAGTTTTCTTCAAATCAAACAGCATTTAAACACAATAAAAACACTTTTATAACAGTTTCACCTACAAAGATGAAAATCTAGTTTTCAGTTTTGTAAATCACACACATTTATTCAATATCTGTGACTCAAAGCTGAACTGAACAAGTGGAAACTGCATTTGATGGTTGCTGTGATACAGTGATCACTGATAAACAGTGCTGAATCGGAGGCCTTTATGTAACTGTATGACTCTTCTGATGAGCAGGTAGCGGCTAAAGCTCTGGAGACGGCTGTGTACGGAGCCTATTACAATGTCATCATCAACCTTAAAGACATCACTGACCAGTCCTTCAAGAGCACCGTGAGTAAACATTTTACCATCTTGGCTTTGCTCTGCTTTAAGCTTTAGCTCAGCTATAGCCGCTTTTCTCACATCTCCAGCAGGAAACTTTTCCAAACGTAGAATAGTTTCTTGTAAAATGTCTCTCAACATTCGACTTTTTACAAGGCTTCTCATTCGCCAGCTTCTCGTGCGAATTGTCCCGTTCCGCCTTAAATGGTGCCTGAGGCACCAGAATGCAACTGCTGCACCATTTAAGGTGGAACGGGACAATTCGGACAAAAAACTTCAGCTTCACGACTTTTTAGTGTTTGTCAGTTTCTCGTTGCAGATTAAACGTATCAGGAAACCAGCTGGAGTGATTATAAACACAAATAAGTCCATTCATCTCCAAATTATTGATGTTCGTCTTAAATCTCTCTCTTTGCCTTTTTTTTAGCTACTAGCTAGGCGAGACTGTTGTCTGTGTTGCTCTGGTGACCAGCAGTCTGTGCTGATCTTCAGGGTTAAAGGGTGAATCAGCAGTTCTACATTAACTCCAGAGTTTAAGACCATTTATTGTTAAACTGTGTTGAACGATCAGCAGAGCTTTATTTTACTGTAAAGGAGGATTATTTTATTTTTACCTACAAATCTAATTCAGCTGTGGAGCCACAACAGGGCAGTAAAAGAGCTGCGTGCGGCTCCAGAGCCACATGTTGACGACCCCTGTGTTGGCACATACTGTTATACATGACCTACTTTACTGCACTTTAAGCTTTGTAGTGCTACAATTCTGTGCTGTTTCAGGCTAGATTTGTTACAAGGTTGGATTGGATTCATTCTTTTTTCTCTTTCCAATATCCAATCCAGTTTTCTGCTGATATTGGCCCAGTACTGACACCTGATGGTCTCTAGTTGAGTTACATCCCCGTCACCCTACTTCATTTATTTCGTGCTGCTGCCTGTTATGTCTTAATTGTTGGTTGTTTTATGTTTGGGTGATGTATTAACACTCTCGTGTATGTGTTGTGTTGTGTCTGGCGTCAGGTGGAGGAGAGGGCGTCTGCACTTCTGAACGAGGCGAGAGAGAGTGTTACTGCAGTGCTGGAGGCTGCAGACCGACGCCACTGAGCACTCCCGCCTACAGCCGCAGAACACCCAACAATGAATGTTACACGGGGGAGAACAAGGGCACAAGCTTACACATTTAGGCTTGTGCTTAAAAGATTGTCACAATATTTGAGCAAGATTACTAAAGATTTGCACATCTGCACATCTCTGCTACAAATGAAGTACCGACCGTTAATGAACAACAGCCAAAAGCAGAGGAAGTACAAGCGTTACAACTCACCCCATAGACGGAGTCAGCTGTAACAGTCGGCATGCAAATAATTCATGTTTAAATATGGCACTGTTATTATTGTATATCATACAGTTCTTTTTAAAGCATTTCTTTTGGTCCATTTATCCATGACATTCACACACGATGTAAACGGCAACTGGCATTTTCAAATTACCGTGATAGAAATGACAAAAATGAGATACAAGCAAAATAATAACAACAATAAACTGGTGTTTAATGGAGAGCACATTTTTATCTCTAATAAAAGCATAAATCATCATATAGCATATGCTCTTTCTTCTCTGTGTAAAGCCCACTCACAACAACATACACTATGTGGACAAAAGTATTGGGACACCTCCACATCACACCTACAGGAGCTTTTATGGCTCCCATTCTAAATCCATGGGCATTAATATGGAGCTGGTCCATATTAGCTCAAACACCTTCCACTCTTCTGGGAAGCTCTACAAGATTTTGGAGAGTGTCTGTGGGAATTTTTTTAGCCTGCTCGCTAAACTAATGCTAAGTTAGCTGGTGAAGCTACATATCCAAACGCAACAGAACAGGTTTAATTTCGCCTTTCTGTCCCTTCAGTGCCAGCTGCTCGACTTCACTCCCTCAGAGCTGAATCGCTATCATCTAAACTTGTGCCGGTGCTTTAGTTAGCCTTCTGTTGCAAGCAGAGCTGTTGTCATGCTAGCTAAGCTAACAGGTAATGCTAATCAGCGCTGCTCTCCTAGTCTGCAGCACTAACATTTATGAACTGTTAGAATGATGGTTTGACATTTATTGAACAGTGCATTGAATATCATGTCGAGTTGGTGGTCAAGTAAATGAACTAAATCTTTCTATTATTTTTTTCATTTTGAAATAACGCGGAACAAGGCGGCCAAAACAGTGTCATTCTTCTCGTATGTCACTTAAGACACCTTAGAGCAGGGTGTCGAACTCAACCAGTAAAAGGGCCGTATTAGAAAAACCAATCAAATCTGTGGGCCAGAGAAAAAAAAAGAAAATCATTTGTAATTGATGTTGTGCTTCAACCTGAACTGGCCATTGTTTATTCATAATATGCAAAAAACTTCCAACAGTAAAATACAGACACTTATAGTAGACCTTGAAATATTACATGGACACTTAAAAAATTCAAAATTTAAATGTCCACAGGAGCTCAGTCTTTTAAACCTTGAACTAGACACCTGTCATCCTCTCTTTGCTGCAAGTTCATTAAGACTTTGCAGACGTTGCAGTGCATACTGGGAACTGTAGTGCAGCGCATTGTGAAACGGGTTGATATTAATAGAAAATTAAAATACTTTTGCGGGCCGGATAGGATTGTTTTTTTTTGTTTTGTTTTGTTTTGTTTTTTTGGTATATACTGCCAAACTGCGGCGATACGTTGGTTTTTCAATGCCGTAAGAAAAATCCATACCATCACAACATGTGTGCATAGATATTATAAACATTAGAAACGATGTTATATTGTTTAAGCACTTTTACAATTCAAAGCACTACTTTTTCACTGTGGTGAAATGGCGGCATCTGGTGGCCAAAACTGCACGTTGCATGAACTGAAAAGCAGGCAATACGAAGAAATGAAGGAGAGCGGTGAATCGAAACGGCTGATTCGTTTTAAAAGACGTAGAATAAAATCACAGACTTCACAGCACGGAGCCAGTTTTGGGCTGCGAGGAGAAAACAGGGACTGTAGTGTAGTGAATGTTTGTGAATAACAAGAAATAACAAGACTTGCGATACAAAGAGCAACATGAACCTTATAAAGTAGAGACTTAAACTGTAAATACAGTAAAATTAGCTTTAAAAAGTTAGAGAAAGAATGAAATCAGCGTTTAATCTATATGTTATAAAGTCTAGCAGTAGTGAAGGGAAAGGCCTGTATGGTCTGTATTTTATCTATTCGAAGAACCTTTTTAATGCAGTTATTTGGCTCCATCTGGTGGTCAATACTGCACACTGCAAGAACTCCGGACAACGCAAGCAGAAATAAAGAAACCCAGGACGCACTGCTGCCTTACTGCACGCGCCACTTTTTAAAAGACTCGCATAATAAAAAAACAAACTTTTACTCACAAATATCTCCGCATTTTTGATAAAGACGACGTCTGACTGTCTGTCCGTCTGTGCACAGTAGCTCTCCCTCCCTCACTAGGAGCGAGTCCATCACCGTCCACTGAGCCAATCGTGGCTTGTCCAGCAGCGGGAGATCCGAGTATGCACTATAAAACCCAGCGGAGAGGAACCGAAGCCCCTTCAGACCCTCTGCGCTCCGGTGCGTAAAAGTGGCCTCTGAGCAAAAAGGAAGGACATGAACGCGCTCCTCCTCCTCCTCGTCTCCCTTTTGACCCTGCTGACCCTCGGACGGGGTCGGGGTCAGAGTCAGAGCCCAACGGCCGCGGAGGAAGGCGAGCAGTGCTCCACGTGCGAGTCGAGGCAGCAGAGTAAGCTGATGCGCCTGCGCTCCATCAAGGCGCAGATTCTGAGCCTGCTGCGCCTCGAGCAGGCGCCCAACGTCAGCAGGGAGGCCGTGAGGCAGCTGCTGCCCAGAGCGTCGCCGCTGCTCGAGCTGTTGAGCCAGTACGAGCAGAAAGGAGGGATGGCCGACGACGACGAGGAGCAGGCCACCACCGAGACCATCATCGCCGTGGCCACGGAACGTAAGCGCATGCGCTTTTACGCACGACTTTTACGCATCTTCCTGATGTCCTGTGCTACTTTAATCAGAATTCTAGGATTCTTAATGTCGTATTAATATACTAAACTAAAATGATTACATCCCTGGGACCATTACAAACCATTAGGATTAAACGGTTTCCAATAGAGACCACTAGTTTCCTGTTTAATACCTTTAGATCCCATTAGGAAACCATCAAATGCTTTTAGAATCAGCCGTTAGGACCATTGGAGTCCTTTACGCTGTGATTTCAACCCAATAAAATAGTCAAACCACATTACAAAACCATTACGAACCAACAGAAACACTCAATGGTTTCTATGTTTTATTTTCCAGCATATATTTAGGATATTATTTATAAATATATAACAAATTACTGCGTTAGTTACGTAATAAACTACATTCCCTGCCAGGAAAACCAGCTTATGTTGAGTTTTGGTCATGCTGGTTGACCAGCTAACCCAGCACCACCCTGCTGAAAACCCATAGAAACCATTAAGTGTTTTCGGTTGGTTCCTGATGGTTTTGTAATGTGTTTTGGCTTTTTAATGGGTTGATATCACAGTGTAGAGGATCCTAATGGTTTAACAGGTGAACAGTGGCTGATTTAAATGCTTTTGATGGTTTCCTAATGGGATGCAAGGGTCTTCTACAGGAAACTAGTGGTCTCTCACATTATGCCAATCCCTGTTACAAAGCAAAACCATTAGGTTTTACTCCTAATGGTTTCTAATGGTCATTTTTCAGCAGGGCAGACAAGCATAAAAGAGCATAATCCAGCTTAAACCAGCATGGAGTTATAATAATTACTTTAAATTGCCCTCATAGAATTATATAAATAAAGAATTAATTACTGCATTAATTACATAGAAACTACAATCCCAGCTAGAAAACCCAGCAAAGACCAGCAAAACTGCATATGTTGTGTTTTGGACAGATAGATAGATAGATAGATAGATAGATATACAGATAGACAGATAGATAGACAGACAGATATATATATATATATAGATAGATAGATAGACAGATAGATAGATAGAGAGAGAGATAGATAGATAGATAGATATACAGATAGATAGATAGATAGTTAGATAGATAGATAGATAAATAGACAGTATATCTATTTGCATATTTACACAGCATATAAGACATTTTTATTGTATTTATGCTGGTATGCTGGTCAACCAGCATGTTCATACTGGGTGACCAGCTACACCAGCACCAGACCGGCACTCGACTAGCATAAACCCAGCATAAACCAGCTTAGACCAGCATGAAATGCTGTTTTTTCCAGCAGAGCTTACATTCGATTTACAGTCTCTGTCGATTGTCTATAAAGGAGAAGAGAGTGGTTCTCGTTTCTGAGAAGATTTGTTGGTGTAACTTTTGAGTCAATGTACATTTTTACTATTAAGAACTAATAATAAAAGTGTAAAAATGTGACATTAAAACCTACATTTCGTTTCTACATGGCTGGTTTGACAGAGCCCACAAAACGGGTCATCCTGTCAGTGAAATCATGGCATTAAACGCCATTTACCTAAAGCAAATGCTAGCTAGAGTTAACTACTGTTAGCTTAGCACACTTCCCTCAGCGAGTGAGCAGTCGTGTTTTAGGTTTGGGAAGCTGGAGGAGACGTTATCAAAAAGAAACATTATTAAGGGCCTGCAGTTCTGTCCAGTCCTTAAGATGTGGATTTAGATGTGGCCATTAACGTCTAACCCATTCACTATTCACTACATAGTGTTTACTGTAGTGAACTGACTGGAGAATAGAGAATAGGAGCACGTTTGACACATCTGAGTCATTCTAACTCAACTTTGTGGTCTATTCCTTTATATTAAGGAGTGTTTTTTGCGATGAGTAACAAGCAAAATTAATAATAACTAGAAAGTGAAAGTTTGTGAACGAACTGATGCGTTGATCAGTGCTACTTTAAGTGCCACCTTAAGTTTAGTGCTATGTTCATTGCAGTTCCACCTTAATTTCAGTGCCACCTTAATTTTAGTGCTACCTTAAATGGAGCTCAACCTTAAATTCAGTGCCACCTTAAATGGAGTTCCACCTTAAATTCAGTGCCACCTTAAATAGAGTTCCACCTTAAATTCTGTGCCAACTTGAATGTAGCTCCACCTTAAATTCAGTGCCACCTTAATTTTAGTGCTACCTTAAATGGATCTCCACCTTCAATTCAGTGCCACCTTAAAAGGAGTTCCACCTTACATGGAGTTCCACCTTAAATTCTGTGCCACCTTGAATGTAGCTCCACCTTAAATTCTGTGCCACCTTGATTTTAGTGCTACTTTAATGGAGTTCCACCTTAAATTCAGTGCCACCTCTTAAATTTAGTGCCACCTTACATGGAGTTCCACCTTAAATTCAGGGCTACCTTAAATGTAGTTCCACCTTAAATTAAGTGCCACTTTAATTTTTGTGCTATCTTAAAGAGAGTTCCATCTTGAATTCTGTGCCACCTTAAATTCAGTACAAACTTAAATGCAGTTCCATCTTAAATTCAGTGCTTCCTTAAAAGCAGCTCCACCTTAAATTCATTATTTGTGCCGATACTGCTGTGCATTAGGCCACAGAATGAACTGAAACTGCAGGTCTAGAACCTTCAGGTCTGCAGACGGACGTTATTCTGCGGTACGCTGACCAAAGTTGATTCCACTTGCTCTACTCTGTTTTTAGCGCAACGCACAGCGCAGGGAAACAATGCGCCGCGCTGCTGCCTGTTCTCACTGAGCCCGAAGATCCTGCCAGACAAAATCGTGAAGGCCCAGTTGTGGTTCCGCCTGCGAGTGGGCCGCGATGCCACCACCGTGTCCATGCAGCTGTCTCGCCTTAACAGCCGCTCCAGCATCCGCTCGCTGCGCCTCTCCGTGAACGCGCAGACCAACCCGTGGCAAAGCATCGACATAAAGCAGTCGCTGCAGGCCTGGCTCCAGCGGCCCGAGAGCAACTTCGGCATCGAGATCAAGGCCGTGGATGCTGACGGGAAGGACTTGGCTGTCACTTCCGCCGAATCAGGAGAGGAGGGGCTTGTAAGGCATTTTTGTTTTGTTTTTAGGGGTGGCTTAATGATTTCTGGGAACTAATAAAAGCATGACTGGGGTTTTTAGTTAAACTCTGCAAGTCTTCTTAACCCTTTAATGTTCTGCTCAGCCATTTGATGGAGCACATTTTGAGTCACTATATGTGCCACAAAGTGCCGGCTTGACCGTTTGGTAGACGTGAATATTTTTAAAATTGTGGGGTCAAAAAAAACAAAAAAAAACACCAATTGTTTTTATTATTGCCCCAAACAAATACACACACACACACACACACACACACACACACACACACACACACATATCATCTAAACCGCTCATCCTTCTGGGTTGTGGTGCGGCGCTGGAGCCTATCCTAGCTGTCATTGGGCGGAAGGCACCCTGGACAGGCCACCAGTCCATCGTCGGGCATCCAAACAAATAAAAAATCAAAAAAAAATCCATTGTTTTTTCTTGGTGAGGACATGAAAGGGTTAAGTCGTGGTTGGAAACAAATAGGTTAAAATCTTGAAACACCTGAAAAAATTGTCAAACTAGAATTTTTCTCAATGGTAGATTCAGCCAAGCTAGATCTCCCATTGGTTAGGACTTCAGGAGCTGGACTGAAGGTGTTACAGGTTAGATTGACTACCAACATAATTAGGAAGTGACAGAAGAATCAACCAGTCATGTTTTGATTTACAATGGTACCAATTTTATGAGAAAAATCTAGAAAAATATCAATCTAGGCCCTCTGGAAGTTCTGACTGAGCAGTGTTTCGGGTAGTTGTTATGAATGGAAAACGGCGGGGGCAGCTCTAAAGCAGAACTCTTTACTGAAAGAGTCACTGTAAAACTGATACATACAAGCTCAGATATATGAAAATGCCTGGTAAAACCTTCTAATAAAACATATGGAATGACTTTTACAAGCTTCATTGGTCTGTATTTAATCTAGAATGGCCAGAAATGTTAATGTGCACCAGCATTAGCTTAGTGATAACATACTATTAGAAATCCCACAGGAGTGCGAGCAGGAATTAGTTGTGAAATGCAAGTAATCTCAAGTTCATACGTTTGTTCGTTTTGGCTAATCATGTGTTGCTTCTCTCTACTGTTGTGCTCACAGCAACCTTTCCTCGAAGTGAAGATAGCAGAGAGCCCGAAGCGCTCCAGGCGGGACTCGGGCCTGGACTGCGACGAGCGCTCCACGGAGTCCCGCTGCTGCCGCTATCCCCTCACCGTGGACTTCGAGGACTTCGGCTGGGACTGGATCATCGCGCCCAAGCGCTACAAGGCCAACTACTGCTCCGGTGAATGTGAGCAGGTGCACCTGCAGAAGTACCCGCACACGCACCTGGTGAACAAGGCCAATCCTCGCGGCACCGCGGGACCCTGCTGCACGCCCACCAAGATGTCGCCCATCAACATGCTCTACTTCAACCACCAGGAGCAAATCATCTACGGCAAAATCCCCTCCATGGTCGTGGACCTCTGCGGCTGCTCTTGAGCTCAATGGTGGCGCCGGGAATATTTTGTAGTGCGTGCTTAGCTGAACTGTATAGAGCACGTCAAATCAAGGCCTTGGGCCAAAATAGAAGTTTGGCCCCTCCAGAGTCCCCCAGAGCCCCCCCAAAAACCAATGTGCCTCAGCCAAGACCAGTGCACTCAAATTCTTGCAAATTACACATCAAATTACAGTGATGTGGCATAAATATTGAAAGTCCAACATAAATAATTAGTAATTGCAAATTTTATCCTTATTTTTACAATGATATGGTTTTCAGAAGCAGTGCCACCTATTGGTAAATGAATGGCACAGCATCTACACTTGGTGAATCACTTTCACTGAACTTTTTGTCATTACAAACAATGATATGTTGGATAACGGAGTATAAACTAGTTTGAACTACTTACATAATTTTGGGTATTATTTTATATGACCAGGTTTGGGCCATACGCAAGCTATGACATTAGCGTTATAGCTAAGTCATGAGGTGTTGCTAGCTTCATTTAGCTGCTAAGATGTTAAACTTGCCTGATAAGAGGCCAAATATCAGTCACCACCACCATGTCGCTGTTGTCGGAAGAAAACCCTGTATCTCCAAAATGATAACTTTACAGGAAAAGGAAAAAACCTACATTACTTTTAATGTAAGTCAATGGAACCAGACTTTTTTCCAAGTCATTTTGGGCCGTTTCTTTTGGTCCATTCATCGTGAAATTTACACATAATGTAAAGGACAAGAAACATTTTCAAATTATGTCAAAAACTGGAAAACGACAAAAAATGGAGATATAAGATTTTCTTCCAACAGCAGCGAGATATTTCTCAAACAGACGTTTTTAAGGCTGTCATGCACTCAAGTTTCATCCGATTTTCATTAGAGCTACGTGGTTTGCTAGTTCCGCTGAAGGAAGTTATAGCCGTACTAACAAGCTAATTGTTATGACATACGCAGCGATGCGAGCTAAGCGATGTAACAGAATCACAGTATGTCAAGGTCAAAAGGAAAGACTGTGAGTTTGATTTTTAGCCAAACTATTTCTTTAGCCTATAAAATGAGGGCTGTAACACAGCATTGTGTACGCCATGTCGCTAAAATCAGTGGAGCGTCAGATGAAGGCCAGCCGTGTTGACCATCAGCGCAAGCCGTTGTTTGAAAGCCCCTTCAGCAGTTGTTCATGTTCCCGCTATGAACTGTTTGGCGACCCAAAAGCACCTCGTCCTCTTGTAACCCGACGCAGAAAGGCCTCGCCGACCCTGCCTCGGGCATGCGGAGTAGATTGCAGCTCTTTAAAGAAATAAATAAACACGCAGCTTATTTTGCATGCTGGGAAAGATCCTGCCGGGATGCGAAAACAGTGCAGCTCTGCCCTCGGCGTGAGGGCAACGAGGGCGTCCGCAGGTGGTCTCCACTGCTCGATCTGTTAGAAGGAGAACAGTTACCCCAAAAAATGGTCTTTGGTGTCTGAAGTTTGCTTCTTGGGTTTTGCACTGGAGCTACGAGGCTAATGTAGCTAACGAGTAATGGAAACGAATGGCCTAAATCATCAAACACTTAAACCATGTGGAGTTCAGCATCTCTAATAGTCGTGATTATGTGGTTTCTGACACTGTATGACTCACTGTTAGCTATAAATATGGACTGACAGACATTAGCATCGCTAAAAACAGTAGCAGCAGCCATTGTGAAGCCTGAATTTTGCTTGTATGTTTGTCCAAAGCTAAAGAAGCAAACTTTGGACTCCTGGCTGATTGGATACATTTGGACTAAAGGGAAAAGTGTGAGAATTCGATTTGTGAATGAAGTTTTCTTTAAAGAGTTAAAATCCGCACTGTAGTAGATCAGTTTTGTATCACGGAAGCCCAGAGAGGACATGAGGTAGTTATCATTTTCTGGATTGTTATCTTGATATCACCACTTAACTGTCTTGTGATCTCAAAATAATGAAGTTGTTGTCTTGAGTTCACGACTTAAGTATCTTGTGATCTCGAGATAACAAAAGTTGTTATCTAGAGATCGGAACTTAACTGTCTTGTGATCTCAAAATAGTGAAGTTGTTATCTTGAGATCATGACTTAAGTATCTTGTGATCTCAAGATAACAAAAGTTGTTATCTAGAGATCAGAACTTAATTGTCTCGTGATCTCAAAATAATAAGGCTGTAATCTTGAGATCATGACTTAATTATCTTGTGATCTTAAAATAACAAAAGTTGTCATCTTGAGATCACAACACAATTAAGTCATGATCTCAAGATAACAGTTCAGAAAATTCTGAAAATTTGGAAAATCATTATTATCTTGTGATCTCAAAATAACAAATGTTGTCAGCTTGAGATCAAAAAACAATTAAGTCATGATGTCAAGATAACAATCCATAAAATTTGGAAAATCATTTTCTGGATTGTTATCTTGAGATCACCACTTAACTGTCTTGTGATCTAGAGGTAACACAAGTTTTCTTAAGATCATGACTTAATTATCGTATGATGTTGAGATAGCAAAAGTTGTCATCTTGAGATCGCAACTGAACTGTCTTGTGATCTCAAAACAATAAAGTTGTTATCTTGAGATTATTACTTGATTATCTTGTGATCTTGAGATAACAAACGTCTGGTATGGAGCCCCGCTGGTGGCATCCTATATAAATAAAAATAATGCATGGCCATGACTTAGCAAGGCATGATCTTGTTCCCACGCCTTACTAAGTTGTGGCCACTACTTAATTATCTCATTCCCAAACCTTAGTAAGTCGTGGCCATGCCTTAGGATCTCATTCCCACGCCTTAGTAAGTCATGGCCACGACTTAATTATCTCATTCCCAAACCTTAGTAAGTTGTGGCCATGCATTAGGATCTCTTCCCCACGCCTTACTAAACCGTGGCCAGGCATTATTCTAATTTGTATGGGATGTCACCAGCAGGGCTCCGTATTCCGGACTTCCGTATTACATCCCAAATCGATTGTATAAGCAGTGTTTACTCCTCATTGGCGATGACATCATGGACTCCCGTGCCGGGATTCCGAAGGTCTTTTAACTTGAGCAGAAGTGATGAAAGAAGCTGAACTCCTTCCTTGTTGATTACAGCTGTGATACTATTTGACCATCATGCCATGAAAGCACTGTTATTTCAAGTAATATTGTTATTGATCTGTAACAGAGGGAAACTCAGCGAATAGTGGGAAAAGGGAAATGCTATTTCCAAAGGGTGGTTAACACACATCTACAGGCTCCAGATGTTTGGCAATCTGCCGATGTCAATCCAACAACAAATAAAAGCTGTCAGCGCTCAATAAACAATGAAACAGAGGTCACTGGAGACGTTCTTCTCTCTCTTCCTAACTGTGTTCCTGAGATTCTTTACGCACATTTATCATGATAAAAAATGATCTGTAATAAATCTCTATAAAGCTGCCCTTATGCTTTAAAATGGGCCTTCAGTATCTCCCCCTTTGGGCATTCCTATCTCTTCCATCTCCTAAGCTTTTTTACCCTCATTGCGTTTGCTAACCGTCAACATATGGTCGCTTTCTTAAAGGGGAATTCCACCCATTTTTCAAAATGTCTGTACAATTCAGTGTGTGAGATTCAGGTTCAGATTTCTTTGCAGTGGTGGTGATAGGAACCAGACTACAACACAGATATAGACATTTTATGTGTATATCATATGTCTATGTTGATGATGGGAAAATAATAAACAAATTATTTTGTTAATTTTATTAATTTATTAATTTTATTAATTTATTTTAATAAATTAATAATTTTACTTTCGGGACTATTTTGACTTAGAACAATCTTTTAGACAAAAAACTTTATCACAAAACTACCAGTATCTCAGCCATCAGGCAGCATATTTATAACCACTTTCTGTGGGGGAGCTTTTAGAGGTGGACGTCTGGTTCCTATCACCACCGCTGTGACTCTGTAAGTTTGTCTAGAATGAAACATTTCACACCAAACCTCTCCAGGTGACTGTGCTTACGTCTTAACCGTTTAATTTTACAGCAATTTTGAAAAATGCCTGGAGTTCCCCTTTAAAAAAAAGTCTCAGTTTTTTGCGATTTTTAGTTTTTTGCCTAATTCGAGCTCAGCAGCTGTCCTTTACATTGTGTGTAAATTTCGTGATGATTGGACCAATAGAAATGCTCCAGAATTGCTCTGAATAAAATCTCTTTCCATCAACTTACATTGTAAGTAAAGAACGTTTTTGCCCTCTCCTGAAAAGTGACCTTTTTGGAGATACTTGTTTTACTTTGGACAGTAAAGGATGGCTGTACGGACAATGTGACTCAGAGGTCACTGTTTGGTCAGATTCAGGAAATGAGTGTGACCATAGTAGGTTCTTAGCTTTTCATTGCTCCTAAGCTAAATGCTCCCCACGTACTGTGGCAATTAGAGCAAGACCTTCAGTTCAGGCTATAAATGTCAAAACTCCAGAACTGAGGAATAAAACCCACCTCAACGTTAATGCTAATTTCTGCTAGCGCCCCTATGGGATTTTAGTAGTATGTTAGCGCCAAGCTAATGGCAATTTACATAAAGTTCCTGCCATAGAGCTGCCAGCGCTGTTTTCCATTTCTAACATCTGACCAATGGTTGGTCAGGCTGCCACTGGTACTCACAGTCAATGTTTTATCTAGAACTTCCAGAAGGCCTAGAGTGAGATTTTTCCTCACAACATCTGTCCCACCCACTGTAAATGATGGGTTGAGTCCACTGTCAGTGGCTAATCTGTCACCTAAGGCCTTCTGTTCAGCTCCTGAAGGCCTTTACCAAAGGGTTACAGATACAGCTCGCTTGGCTGTATCTACCAAGATACCATGGAGACAAAAAAGCTTGCATGGTTCATTTTTGGTTGGGTGTTTAAATACAACGAGCCTGATAATTACATTAAATAAAAATTAGAGGCTTGTATATTTTCTTTTTTTACAGAAAAAAATGGGCCTTCTGAAGACCTAGAACGCCCTGAGGGTTCCCCACTGACATTTAATCTTCAGCTGTTCAGTGTCCTAAAGCTGGCTGTCGGGTAATTGACACCTGATCGGAGTCTGAAGTTGGCAGCGGGCCTTCGCAGATGGCCTCAGCTGCAAAAGGGCAAAGCATATATATAATACGCACCCGATCTACTGGGATCATGTAATTGGGTTACGTGACGTAAGTCAGAGCTCAGAAAAGTGTGAGTGGAAATCACATGAACAAAAGGTGGTCTCAGATTTTTACACAGCACTGTCCTTTATATATAAGAGGAAACCGATTACATACACTCACTGAAGATGCCTCTTCAAGGGTTCTTTAGTAAAGGCAATGGTTCTCTTTAGAACCATGAGAAATGGTTCTTCAGATTGTGGAGAGTGTGTTGGATATGGTTCAATACACACCGATCAGGCATAACATTATGACCACCTCCTTGTTTCTACGCTCATTGTCCATTTTATCAGCTCCACTTACTATATAGGTGCACTTCGTAGTTCTACAGTTACAGACTGTAGTCCATCTGTTTCTCTGCATACTTCGTTAGCCCCCTTTTACTCTGTTCTTCAGTGGTCAGGACCCCCATGGACCCTCGCAGAGCAGCAGGGCAGCGTCCTGTGACCACTGATGAAAGACTAGAGGAAGACCAACACAAACTGTGCAGCAGCAGATGAGCTATCGTCTCTGACTTTACATCTACAAGGTGGACTGACAAGGTACGAGTGTCTAATAGAGTGGACAGTGAGTGGACACAGTGTTTAAAAACTCCAGCAGCACTGCTGTGTCTGATCCACTCGTACCAGCACAACACACACACTAACACACCACCACCACATCAGTGTTACTGCAGTACTGAGAATGACCCACCACCCAAATAGTACCTGCTGTGTGGTGGTCCTGTGGGGGGTCCTTACCATTGAAAAACATGGTGAAAGGGGGCTAACAAAGGATTTGTTCTTGTAGAACTACTAAGTGTGCTTACATAGTAAGTGCACCCAACAAAATGGACAGTAAGCCTACATACAGTGTGAGTGTACATAATACACTTGAATTCAGGGCATTGACTGTTTTCATCAGCATACACGGAGCACCGTTTATGTCCACAATTTTAGGCCTAAAACATTGTCTACGTGTTTAAACTGGACTGGACACAGTCCAAGCTCTCTAATATTTCATAATACCGACTAACAGCAACGCTATTCACGTTTCTTTTAAGAAAAACTACCAGTTTAGTCACTAACGCATTCAGATCAACGCCTGGAAATTCACATCACCCCAACTTTCAGTTTCTCGTAAACCACGTGACCACATCGGGGGCGGGACTCTGGACGCGGCTCCTCCTTTCGATTGGCTGTTGCGCGAAAGCAGTCGCTTCCGATTGGCTGGAGCGGGCGTCGCTTCGGCTCACCTCCTTGCCTCTGTTTGAGGACTCAGTTGCAGGAGGTGGAAGAAGAGCGACGTTACGTGTTTTTATTCGGAATTAAATGTCCAAAAAGCCCTCAAAGGAGTCTGTATTAAACCACAACAGCGAGTTTTACGTCAGCGAGAGAAAAGAAAGTGACCCAGCGGCTTAAAACCGGCGTTTTCACTCTTGGACGAGCCAGGTAAGCTGTTTAGCTTAGCTACTATTAACTTTCCCCAGCGTCGTGTTCTAATTATCCGTTCCACCTTAAACGGCGCAGCTGTTGTTATAACGGCTCGGCGCCAGAACGTTACTGCTGCGCCATTTAAGGTGGAACGGGAAAATTCGAACAAGAAACTGGCGAGTAGGAAGCTGACTTCAGTCAGAAACAACAACAACGGCAACAAGATGTTGTTTGTGTCGGAAACGCCAAACGCTGCTTTCACTGAACAGCCATTTTGTGATAACTAGCGCCTAATTTCGATGTAATTAACTTGTTTTTACCACAATTTCAGCTCAAAGTAGGTAAATGTTCAGCTATATTTGGATGTCGGCATGGGAAAGTAATATTAGAGGCTTCTCTTTCGATTTCCTCTTCTCGCTTCTTGAAGTCAGGACTGTCCCCTTCGGCTGGACAAACTAACCCAAACTTTAACCGGCGGTAATGACACTGTCCAGTGGATGCCCGTTTCCGCTACTAGTGAACATATGCAGCCATTTAATGAGGAAGTTTTCCATGATTATGATTTATTATCTCACAATTATGACATAGTATCACATAATTATGACAGTTTCTCATAATTATGGCTTAATATCTCATAATAATTACTTACTATCTCATAATAATGACAATTCATGAGTCATAGTTATTAGATACCAAGTCATAATTGTGACAGTCATTATTATGAGATGTTAAGTCGTAATTATGAGATACTGAGTTATAATTATGTGATACAAAGTCATAATTATGAGATTTGTTATTATGAGATGTTAACCTGTCCACTATATGGGTTTCTGTCCACACTGTGTTCCATTAAACTAGTTTGAATGCATTTAACATGGCAACCTGTTTCTGCTATCCAGGTTTCTGTTTACACTGCGTTCTGTTAAACTAGTTTGAATGCATTTATAATGTTAACCTGTATCCGTTATCCAGGTTTCTGTTCACTCACCGCTTTATTAAACTAGTTTATATGCGCTCAGCACGGTAACCTGTATCCACTGTCCAGGTTTCTGTTCACACTGTGCTCAATTAAACCAGTTTAAGTGCATTTTGCATGGTGACCTGTATCCGCTGTCCGGGTTTCTGTTCACACTGCGTTCCATTAAACTAGTTTGAATGCATTTAACATGGCAACCTGTTTCTGCTATCCAGGTTTCTGTTTACACTGCGCCCATTAAACTTATTTATCATAATTATGACGTGTTATTATGAGATGTTAACCTGTACCCACTATATGGGTTTCTGTCCACACTGCGCTCAATTAAACTAGTTTGAATGCATTTAGTATGGAAATTTTTATCCTCTATCTAGTTTTCTGTTCACACTGCGCTCCATTTTTAATCTATAATAATCTGCATTACACCCACCTAACCTAGAGATCTTGATTTACTTTCCAAATTTCTGTTTACATTAAGCTTCAACAAACCAGTTGTTCACACTGTGCTCCATTAAACTAGTTTGAATGCATTTATAATGTTAACCTGTATCCATTATCCAGGGTTTTGTTCACTCTCAACTTTATTAAGCTAGTTTATATACGTTTAGCACAGTAACCTGTATCCACTATTCAGGTTTCTGTTCACACTGTGTTCCATTAAACTAGTTTGAATGCATTTAACATGGCAACCTGTTTCTGCTGTCCAGGTTTCTGTTTACACTGCGCCCATTAAACTTATTTAAATGCATTTTGCATGGTAACCTGTATCTGCTGTCCGGTTTTCTGTTAACACTGCACTCAATTAAACCAGTTTAAATGCATTTCGCATGGTAACGTGTATCCGCTATCCGTGTTTCTGTTCACACTGCGCTCCACGTTTAATCTATAGTAATAATCTGCGTTACACCCACCTAACCTAGAGATCTTGATTTACTTTCCAAATTTCTGTTCACATTAAGCTTCAACAAACCAGTTTGCATGCTCCCATGCCCACTATCACAATTTCTGATAACACTGTAGATAAGTTTCCGGATAAGTTTCCGTCTATCACAGTTTCTGTTAATAAATTGGTGTCCACCCAACCTGGTGATCTGTATTTACTGTCCAGATTTCTGTTCAGATTGACCTTCAGCGAACCAGTTTGCATGTTCCTGTATTCACTTTAAGGATTGTGCTCCAAAAAACTAATCTACATCCACTTGACATTGCAAACTGTATCCAATATTTTGATTCCTGTTCACATTAAGAACTGGTTGTAAACATCCATCTAGCACAATGGCCTGTAACTTATTATGCCAGTTATTGCATATATTTTCTTTTTTTTTCTTTTTTTTTTTTTTACCCGATTTTCTCCCCAATTTAGTCGTCTCCAATTCCACCCGCTAGTTAGGACTCCCCCAATCACACGATGCTATCAACGCTAGGAGGGTGGAGGCTAACACAGGCTTCCTCCGAGACCTGTGAAGCCAACCACCGCTTCTTTTCGAGCTGCCGCTCACGCAACGTCATTGGACAGCCGAACGCGCTCGGAGGAAAGCGGCAACCGCCAGATCTGTTACGTCAGCTAACAGACGCCTGCGCTGACTAGCATCGCGCTGAGTGATGGGGGGAGAAGGAGGGGCCATCCTACCCACCCAGAGAGAGCGAGGCCAACTGTGCTCTCTTGGACTCCCGGCTACGGACGGCTGTAGCATCACCAGGGATCGAACTCGCGATCTCCTGATGATACAACCAACGCTTAGACGGTTGCGCCACTCGGGAGCCAGTTATTGCATACATTTTCTGATTGCAGTTATTTTCTACACTTTTTAGCTTTCACAGTCACACGTTTTCATCACAACCAGTAGAAAACACATTTATTGAGACACTTCTTGTTATAAAACAACGTGAGTTCTCCAGTTTGACTGCTGCTGCCTTTAGCTGCCTTTGTTTATTTGAGCTCTCTTCTAAATATCAGTAACTTGGAAGTGACACTATAGTTATATAGTTAAATTATTAATTGCAGTTAATTGTCAGCAAAAATTTCATGTGTCTACCTTTATATTCACACTGTCCTCAAACAATCTGTTCACACTGTGCTCTAATAATCCTGTTTAAATGCACATATAACAATGACCCAAATCCACTATCTATATCACCACTAAACACACTGACCTCTGTACCACTGTGATAAGGAATCTGCTTGAGTGTGTTACAAAATATGGCGAGCTTTCTTGTCTAGACCTTTCAGAATGAGTGGTCTTTTCTTTACTACTTCACTGCTCTGTAGAGGTTCTTCTTTCTCCACATTTATGTTTACGAGCCATGCTGCAGTATAAGGCAAGGTTGATGTGTCCCCAGTAGACAGCCCCTCCCCTTCACCTGTCTGTGTGATGTCCACTGAGGGTGTTTTTGCTTTTTTTCTTGTTTTCGTTCTTGTTCTATATACTTAAAAAGACGTTTCCTACATACAGCAAACCTATAGAGATCTGTAAATTTGGTGAAATGTCAGCAATAAGCAAAACATCGACAATAAAAGAGAAGGCCTCAGTGTGTTGCTCATTACTTTTGCTGTGCCAGTGAGTTATTAAACCATTTTTTCCTCCCCATCCGTTTCCAGAGTACCAAGAATCAGAGATGAGTCAGTGGCTCGAGCTACAGCAACTTGATTCGAAGTTCCTGGAACAGGTGGACCAGCTCTACGATGACACCTTCCCCATGGCCATCCGCCAGTACCTGAGCAACTGGATTGAGAGCCATGACTGGTGAGGACAAGAGCAGGCAACTGCAAAAGCAGCATCAGTTTTTCAAAATAAACTACGCCAAACTCCAGGCTGCAGCTTGGCCTAATAGACCTTCAGCATGCTAACAGTATTTTTGTGGTCTGTTAGAATATATTTACGTGCTTAAATATTTCAAAAACACATTATTTTTTTTTGTACTGTACATCTCTATTTATCCCTCAGTCTGAAACGCTCCATTAGAGCTCCTGTGTCTTTAAGCCCTGCCTCCTGATGAGCCCAGTGTGCTCTGATTGGTCATCTCGCCCACTCTGTTCTGATTGGTCGACCGTTGGAGCGGTTCCACCCCTACGTGTTCTGCCCCTGTCCTTCAGTCTGCAGACAGACCCTTCTCTCCTGAGCAGCTGTAAACTCTGTTGGTTCTGCTGTATTAGTTTGATCCAGAGTGGATCCTGAAAGTCCGGTCAGCATCTTCTCAACGCGACTATAACACTGAACACACTCTTCGTCCTCCAGCAGCCGCTGTGCGCTGTGTGAGGGCGGGCCGAGCTCACTGGTAGGCGGGCAGTAAAGATTGTGTTGCGAAATGATGTCATCTTGTAACGAAGGAAAAAGGCTGGAATTCCAACGAGGCGTTTCAGGCAGCTGAGAAAAGTGGGTTCTGTGGGAGGGATTTTCTCCCTCTGGTAGGAACGCTGAGCTTTGGGACTTTGCAGAACATGCATAAAAAGCTACAACACATTAAAGGAAAGAGAGAACCGGAAAAGCACAATAGGTCCTTTTGAAATGGTGCAGCACTTAATTTCAGGTGTCTGTTCAGGTACCAAATTTGCACCTGATGCTCCATTTGAGGTGGAATAAAAAATTTGAACAAAAGGCTGGAGAATAAGAAGCCAACTTCAGCTTGGAGCAAATTCAAGTGAGAAACACATTTAACGCTGTTTTTGCAGGCAAGCGTTGGAAAGCAATAATGACATATAATTTTCAGTTTTGTTTTTTTTTTGCACAGTAAAAAATATGTCAGATTTGCTTTGGTTGTTAAAAATCGTTCTTATTAAAACATGAAAGGACGTCCCACAATAATAAGCCACTATTAACCTAAAAATACGTTCAGATAAGAATCTAAAATGGCATTATTTGAAAATAATATAAATTGTTGTAAACACTGAAACTGTCAGAAATTTTAATTATACTATGATAGCTATACTATGAAACTTATGACCACACTGCCCACTGTTAGTATGTGTTGTACTACGTTCTGTTATGCTTCTGTGAAACGTCTTTTGTGATCACATTGCCAAGGACACATTGTTTAGGATTTCACTAACTAGGCTGACTGTATGCTGTTAGCTAGATTTAGAAACAGTGAAACTGTATTTCTTGGGAAAACTAACAAGTCAGCACCTGATCCTCTGAGGGAAGAAAGACCCCGTGTAGAAGACGAGTCGTCATCACCAGTGTTGTACCGGTTAGCTCTAGTGTTAGCTTACTAGCTCATCTGAAGAGGCAGCCTCTGTTTGTAGCTTCCTGGCATCAGCAAAGAAATCATGTTTACAGTTTTTTTTTATTGCAGCTGAACAAAAAATGGTTGATTAATTCTTAATGTAGTTATGTTATAACTCAGGGGTGTCCAGTCTTTTCCGCAAAGGGCCGGTGTGGCTGCAGGTTTTCACTCCAGACAAGCTGAAGCTTCACCTGATTCTACTTCAGTTGGTCTTAGTCTTCAAACGTTTCATCAGGAGTGCTTTTTTGGAGTGAAAACCTGCAGCCACACCGGCCCTTTGTGGATAAGATTGGACACCCCTGTTATAACTGAAGTTTGGGGGGAGGAGCATGGCTGAAACCCCTCCTTCTTCCAATCTAACGTCCTATAAATTCACATCCTGACCTTCCGTTCCCATAGCTAAGTTTTGCAATCCCCACCGCCACCACATCTCCCCCCTGTTCTAATCACTGTTTTAATTCATAAACAATATTGATGGTTATCACTAATAGATATATGGTGTGCTTGATGAACAGAGAGAAAATAAGGTCAATATTAAATTAAGTTGACACCAAATAGCAGCATATCCACTCATTAAAGTTTGCATTCGTCATTTTCACAGCAAAAAACATACTTAGAAAAGCATTTCCAGATATAAAATCATTAGATATCAAAGTAATTTGTGGTATTAACCCCCTAAATGGCCTGGACCCACCGACAGGTCTGATGTTTTACTAATAAGTCTTGGAAGCCAAATCCAGATAATTACTGAAGCCTTGGAGGAAATATCTATTTTGTAATAAGAAACTGCCTCCTTCCTCCCTTTAGGGACCATGTGGCCAACGTGGAGAACGAGTCTCTTGCGACAGTGAGGTTCCATGACCTTCTGACCCAGCTGGACCATCAACACAGCCGTTTCGCGATGGAGAAAGACTTCCTCAATCAGCACAACATCCGCAAGATCAAGCGCAACCTGCAGGTTTGCGGCCAAACACGCTTCCTCAGATCCCCTTTTCACAGGATGCATCTCTGCGCACTCGCATTCGTCGTCATCCACATCATGGAAAACTGAGTCTTCATTAAAGGCACAGCGTGTATATTTACATATATTTAAATATATTCATTTATTTAGCTAAGCCCATTCAGGCTGGACCGCTTTCTGAGTGAAGCACAGTACAGTACAGCCAATCAGAACCGAGCTATTTACGCTTATTTTCTGAGGAAAAATTATTTAACAAATCCTTTAGAGAGAACACACCTCTGCACTTTTTTAGTGCATAATTACTATTCATTTATTAAATTTAACATACTAGGAAAAAAAGTAATGGCACATTTTATGCTTGATGTTTTATTTTTTCCAATATGTTAAAATATGATTAAAAAATGCTGTATTTAAGTTTGCTGTAGAGGATGTGTTATAACTTATTCTCACTTAGAAAAACCAGCAAAACATGTAATTTGACCAGGGGCGCCCAAACTTTTGCCTACATCTGCATATTAGTTTTGAGTAGACAGTGATAGAAACTGCCTGTTTGGAAAATTATATGAAACTGAATTATGATCGTTCTTGTTACATAAAACCATATAAACGTTACACATAGACCTCAGAAAAAAATTTAAATCTAAGTTACTGAATAATCCACCAGTTATTTTGATGATAAAAGAGGCCATAACATAAAAATGGACAGGTAATAAACCATGCACGGCCCATTAGAAAATTCAAAATAAATAGATAAAATAAAGACTTCATAAAAAATTTTTAAAACGGTGTGTGTCAGAAAATTATAAAAGTGTCTTTTTTTTCTTCATGTTCTGATGTTCTTCCCAGCACTGAGAGAAACCTGCAAATGCATGTTGTTCAGTTTCAGTGCGAGATAATATCTGCCCACATTCAGGCTAATGTGACTGCAAGCATCATTTATCTTGCAGACCCTTTTCCAAGACAACCCTGTCTCCATGGCGATGATCATCAGCAAGAACCTGAGCGAAGAAAGAAAGATTCTGGCAGCGGCACAGATCTCCGAGGTGGGCAGCAAATGGCTGACTGTGCAGACGTCTTTATTAAAATGGCGTCCCTCTCCCTTGTAGCTCCGCCTGGCTGGTGTACAGTTACAGACTGTAGCTCATCTGTTGATGGTAGAGGGGCTGATAACTGTGCAGCATTCTGCACCTACATAGTAGAGCTAGTGGTCAGTTAGTGGAAGCACGAGGTAGGTGTTTCTAATATAGTGGTCAGTTAGTGGAAGTACAAGGTAGGTGTTTCTAAAAAAGTGACCAGTTAGTGGAAGTACAAGGTAGGTGTTTCTAAAAAAGTGACCAGTTAGTGGAAGTACAAAGTAGGCGTTTCTAAAAAAGTGACCAGTTAGTGGAAGTACAAGGTAGGTGTTTCTAAAAAAGTGACCAGTTAGTGGTAGTACAAAGTAGGTGTTTCTGATAAAGTGGCCAGTTAGTGGAGGTACAAGGTAGGTGTTTCTAAAAAAGTGACCAGTTAGTGGTAGTACAAAGTAGGTGTTTCTGATAAAGTGGCCAGTTAGTGGAGGTACAAGGTAGGTGTTTCTAAAAAAGTGACCAGTTAGTGGTAGGTACAAAGTAGGTGTTTCTGATAAAGTGGCCAGTTAGTGGAGGTACAAGGTAGGTGTTTCTAAAAAAGTGACCAGTTAGTGGAGGTACAAGGTAGGTGTTTCTGATAAAGTGGCCAGTTAGTGGAGGTACAAAGTAGGTGTTTCTGATAAAGTGGCCAGTTAGTGGAGGTACAAGGTAGGTGTTTCTAAAAAAGTGACCAGTTAGTGGAGGTACAAGGTAGGTGTTTCTAAAAAAGTGACCAGTTATTGGAAGTACAAAGTAGGTGTTTCTGATAAAGTGGCCAGTTAGTGGAAGCACAAGGTGAGTGTTTCTAATAAACTGAATGACGAGTCCATATGAACATCACGTCTTTGTTGCAGAACACAGCACAAAGTGCTCACAGCGACATGATGATCGAGAAACAGAGAGAGCTGGACAGCAAGGTGAAGGAAATTAAGACCAAAGTACAGGTGAGGACCGGTCATCAGTTAGAGTCACACAAATTAAAGCAATTCAGTCACAAATTTAGTCTACAAACATTTTTTCCCTTTTCCTGATTTGGATAAATATTATTGGGAACATTCATCTCTACAGGAAACAGAACAGAACATCAAAAATCTGGAGGACTTGCAAGACGAGCACGATTTCAAGAGCAAGACGCTGCAGAGTCAAGGTGAGAGCGTGGTCTTTTTCTTTTTAATCGTGGGACATAATTATATTGTTTCAGATGTTGGAAGTCGAGCCTGTTGGTGATTCCTTGGTGTTTCGGTTTTGCAGAGGAGCTGAACGGCACGATATCAAGAGAGGAGCTGAGTCGCGAGAAGCTGTACCTCAAAGCCATGTTCATGAAACTCCATGACATGAGAGGGGTGAGAGAGTGCTACCGGGGGGAGGGGAGATGTCATGGTTCTTGAATAGAAAACGTTTGAGAAAAGCTAAACTGCATGTCCAAAATCCTAATCCTGCCTCATCCCTAAACAGCAGTTAGGACAGGGGGCAGTATGTGTTACTCTAGGTCAGGGGTCGGCAACCTAAATGTTAAGAAGAGCCATTTTGTCCTTTTAACAAAAATCAAACCACCTTGGGAGCCACAACATATGTCCATTTATTGAGGTAACGTTTTACCATCTTGGCTGAATTTTTTTTTAATTTGTGCTTGCTAACGTCCTAGTATAGACTAAAAAATATAATATAAATAAAAATGCAGACTTTAGCTCAGCTATAGCTGCTTTTCTCACATCTCTGGCAGGAAACTTTTCCTCAAAAAGTAGATCAGTTTGTTGTAAAATGTCTCTCAACGTTTGTTTTTTTTCGAGGCTGAAGTCGCTTCTCATTCGCCAGCTTCTTGTTCGAGTTTTCCCGTTCCACCTTAAATGGTGCCTGAAGTGCCAGAATGCAACTGCTGCTTAACTTAAGGTGGAACGGGACAATTCGAACAAGAAGCTGGCGAATGAGAATCTGACTTCAGCTTCACGACTTTTTAGTGTTTGTCAGTTTCTCATTGCAGATTAAACGTGTCAGGAAACCAGCTGGAGTGATTATAAAGTCCATTCGTCACTAAATTATCGATGTTCGTCTTAAATCTCTCTCTTTGCCGTTTCGTTTGCTACTAGCTAGGCGAGACTGTTGTCTGCGTTGCTATGGTGACCAGCAGTCTGCGCTGATCTTCAGGGTTAAAGGGTGAATTAGCAGTTCTACATTAACTCCAGAGTTTAAGATCATTTATTGTTAAACTGTGTTGAACGATCAGCAGAGCTTTATTTTACTGTAAAGGAGGATTATTTTATTTTTAACTACAAATCTGATTCTGCTGTGGAGCCACAACAGGACAGTAAAAGAGCCGCTTGTTGCCGACCCCTGGACTAGTGTGATAGAATAGCGAATAAAGTTAGTAAAACTGATCGAAAGGAATTCACACAGTTATCTTTATTCCAAGTGTGGTCGATCAGCTAAGGCGTGATGTCTGAGGTTTGCTTCTTGTGTGTAGGGCGTAGTGAGTCAGATGTCCGAGGTGCTGAACCTTGTGGAGCAGCTGGAGTACGAGCTGATCACGGTGGAGCTGTGTGAATGGAAACGACGTCAGCAGATGTCCTGCATCGGCGGCCTCACCAACGTGTGCCTCGACCAGCTGCAGAACTGGTAAGACGCTTCGGGGAACACGGGTGGTACACACCTGAGCCAGGTATGCAGGTGTTCCCAACACACCTGAGCCAGGTATTCGAGAGTTTCCAGTACACCTGAGCCAGGTACACCAGGGTGCTGTACACACCTGATGTCAGGCACAGTCATGTTCACAAATACTTGGACAACGTCATTGTCATTTTAGCCGTCTACCCCAGCATATTGGAGAATTAATATGAGGGTATTTACATCCGAATTGGGTGAACGATGCAGAAATTACAACCATTTTCATACATACTGTGGTATTCTAGCATCCCTAATACTCCTGAGCCAGGAGTTCTAGTGTCCCCAGTGCATCTAAGCCAGGTGTGGAAGTTTTCCTGACACACCTGAGCTGGGTAAGCATTCCCAGCACACATGAGTCAGGTATTCAATCCCTGTCACAGCTCTTATTGCTGGCTAAATTGGCTGAAGAGTGTGAACTGGCAAGAGTTTGTGGACTAGATTTGCAGAACACAGCTTTACATTCTCCGAAAAAAAGGAACGAATCTGTCACTGGTTCCCTCAAGGGTACATCTCGGTACCTCTAGTCAGGGAACATAACTGAACCATAATCCACGGAAATTATTATTTATTTAAAGCTGTGCTGACTCCACACACCCCGTCTCGTCTCCAGGCTTTTTATTTCACTGTTCTGTTTTAAAACATTCGGTTATGAAAAAGATACAAATACGAACTTTTCACCTGGAAAAACCTATTTAAGGTGCACAGTTGGACCGTAAAACCACTGTTGTACCTTTGAGGGAACATTTACACTGTTTGTACCTTGATGAATGAGAAATGTACCTGAAGAGAACCTTTATTTCTAACAGTGTACAGTAAACATAAGTAGCTGACTGCTATATTTGTACATTAAACCTTTAAACTACAGAAGGTCCATATGTGGGTCCGCACTTCAGTTCCCCACTCTCATTACTACAGTTTAATGACTACTTTAATACTAGTTATTGAGTAATGTAGTCACTGAAAAATCTTGTGTTTGTAGAGGTCAGAAGGATCAGTACTGTGCAGATGCTTATTTTAAGGCTGTTTCACAGTGCCTGTAGCTGATTGCCATAGATTTTAAATGCGTTGTGAAACTGTAGAGGAAGTTGCTCAACTATGTTAGATGCAAACTGGCACAAGGCCAAATCAAATACCAGCTCAAGGATTGAGGAACAGTTCTGTAAAGTGTAGCCTCTGAGTTGGTACAGTGCACTTGGAAATCTACTGCAGTGAATTGGAAGCACTGTAAAAGCGCTAATAGGGTTGGTTCCACAATGTAAAGTGTGCAGGATTTGATTGGTTTGAAATAATGTATCTGTGTAATTACCTCAAATTCATATCCCGCATGGTGTAATAGTACACAGTGCAGGTTTATACTGTATTAAAATTACTCCCCAGTTATTACCGTCAGACTGCAGAACTACACACACACTGCAGATTCAAACTGGATTAAAATCGCTCCACAATTATTACTGTCAGACTGTAAAACTACACACACTGAAGATTCATACTGGACTGAAATCAATCCTTGAATCTTCTACAAAAACGAAGGATCTATAAGTCTATGTTCTGTGGTATCATATGTACCCAGCCCTAACTAAGCTAACTAAGATATGAATTAATTAATTCATATCTTTAATTAATGAATTAATTAACTCACCCACATACAGGTGCGCTAACTGAAATCCCCCTCTCTCTGTTTCTGGCAGGTTCACGGCGGCGGGGGAGTGCCTGCTGCAGGTACGTCAACAGCTGAAGAAGCTTCTGGAGCTGGAACAGAAGTACTCATACTCACATGATCCGATTGCCCTCAGCAGGGGCACACTGGAGGAGAGGGCACTAACACTTCTCAAGACCCTCATCACCAAGTGAGTCACAGCCTCACCACCTGCGTTATTCACAATTACACCTACTCGGCTCACAATTACTCTCACTGTATTCAGTGCATTGTTCACAACTACATACAGTTAGTGCTTTCTTCACAACTACACCCACTATACTAAATGGATTATTCACAGCTATGCAAGCTTTACTCAGTGGATTATTCACAACTATATCACTTTATTCATTAGATTATTCACAACCACATCTAATGTACTTAGTGGATTATTCACAACTATACCCACTATTCTCAGTGGATTATTCACAACTATACCCACTATACTCAGTGGATTATTCACAACTATACCCACTGTATTCAGTGGATTATTCACAACTACACCCACTATTCTCAGTGGATTATTCACAACTATACCCACTATTCTCAGTGGATTATTCACAACTATACCCACTGTATTCAGTGGAATATTCACAACTATACCCACTATTCTCAGTGGATTATTCACAACTATACCCACTGTATTCAGTGGAATATTCACAACTATACCCACTATTCTCAGTGGATTATTCATAACTGTACCTGCTATATTCAGTGGATTATTCATAACTACACCCACTATTCTCAGTGGATTATTCACAACTACACCCACTATTCTCAGTGGATTATTCATAACTGTACCTGCTATATTCAGTGGATTATTCATAACTACACCCACTATACTAAATAGATTATTCACAGCTATGCAAGCTTTACTCAGTGATTTATTCACAACTATATCACTTTATTCACAACCACATCTAATGTACTCAGTGGATGATTCACAACTACACCCACTAGTTATATAAAGTTATAATGTTATCGAGTTATTGAACGTAACAGATACATTCTAATGGAGCTCATCCTGCCCAATTATATCGCTATAATAAAATGAACTGCATTTAAATGGAAGAAATCAGTCACGTCTGAACAAATTAGAAATTTTTTATCTTCTTCTTTAGAGTTACCTTTTCAGACATAAAAAGTTGAATCATGCCAGTAACCATATGTGTATGTGTGTTGTAGCTCCATGGTGGTGGAGAGACAGCCTTGCATGCCCACACAGCTGCAGAGGCCTCTAGTGCTGAAGACGGGAGTCCTGTTTACCCTCAAAGTCAGGTACTCACCAAACATTGCTGAAATTCCACTGAGGTGCGGTGGAAGTGCGCTGGAGTACATTTCATTTAATTCACACGTAAAGTGCTCCAGAAACACATTCTGTTCTGTCAGAACTTAATGCTGTTTTTGGTTTTTCTCTCCAGACTGCTGGTGAAACTTCAGGAGTTCAATCACATGGTCCGTGTCAAGGTGCACTTTGATAAGTAAGTGAAGCTTCAGCCTATGAGGGTATAGAGCTGTTGTTTACAATCTGATATTATGGACTACTGAACATAATGGCTCATTTTATACAGTCTCTTTCTCACTGCTGTGCCAGAGTACCACCCTGGAATTTATTTCATTTCCAGTCAAAACAGCCAATAAGTACAAGACTTTCATTATTAGGAGATATTTTTGAGAAGATGCATACCTACAAGATAATCCACTAGTACCGGGGTCGCAACCCAAATGTTAAGAAGAGCCATTTTGTCAAGTTTCAACAAAAATCTAACCACCTTGGGAGCCGCAACATTTCATGTCCATTTTATTGAAGTAACGTTTCACCATCTTGGTTGTAAATATGTCTCAGTGTATGTTAATGCGCTAGTATAGGCTAAACAGTATGATATAAACGAAAACGCAGACTTATTTGCTCTGCTTTAAGCTTCAGCTCAGCTATAGTCGCTTTTCTCGCATCTCAGGCAGGAAACTTTTCTGCAAAAGTAGAACAGTTTCTTGTAAAATGTCTCTCAGCGTTTGACTTTTTACGAGGCTGAAGTCGCTTTTCATTTACCAGCTTCTTGTTCGAATTTTCCCGTTCCACCGTAAATGGCGCCTGAAGTGCTAGAATGCAAGTGCTGCACCATTTAAGGTGGAACGGGAGAATTAGAGCAAGAGACTGGCGAACAAGAAACTGACTTCAGCTTCGTGACTTTTTAGTGTTTGACAGTTCCTCGTTGCAGATTAAACGTATCAGGAAACCAGCTGGATTGATGATAAATACGAATAAGTCCATTCATCTCCAAATTATGGATGTTGGCCAACCTTCAGGGTTAAAGGGTGAATTAGCAGTTCTACATTAACTCCAGAATTTAAGACCATTTATTGTTAAACTGTGTTGAACGATCAGCAGAGCTTTATTTTACTGTAAAGGAGGATTATTTTATTTTTACTGCTGTGCAGTATTTAAAATAAGGTGTTTCCAAAACTGGAGTGGATAAAATAAGTAAAAGGTACAGGGAAAATGTGGCTCCTAACAACGACCTGGAACACCTGGCAGACACCAAAACTGCCCCCATCAGATAAACAGCACTTAAAGCTTTCATCTCTGAGAGAGAGGAGAAAATCAAGCTGCTTCAGATCTGAAAACATCCACAGGTGTTTCTGTCCATCCTTCCACTGTGAGAAGACGACTCAGCGCTGTGGGTCTGAAAGGATGTGTAGCTGATCAAGAAGAACCTCACTGAGAAAAGGAGACGGACACATCAAACAAAGAAGCTGAACGATGGACTGACCACCCCAGAGTCCAGACCTCAACACCACTGAATGTGTTTGATTACTTCAGAAAATGATCAACCAGCTTCTAAGACTGAACTTTGGAGGCGTGTCTGCAGATTCTTTGAGGAGCTGAAAGTGATTTCCTGAAAAGAATGGAAGCTGGAATAAAGGGAAGGAGTGACTCACTGAACACTAAAATTTAGTATTTTTTGTAGTTGTACTTCATGGCTGTTTTGACTAGAAAAATTAAATGAAGGGTGGTTTCTGTGTCTTGTATTTCGTTTAACATATAAGATGTTTACTGAAATGCATATATGTATAGCTGAATGTCTGACACTGTTTGTTTTGTTTTTTCAGGGACGTGACGGAGGACAGAAAGGGGTAAGATTATAAGACGGAGGATATTATGTGTACACCACAGTCTTGTTTGTTGCTATAAGTTAATTCTTAGTAAAATGAACCCTTAAGAATGTGGGTAGCGTCATAAATGCTGTGATGCTTACAGCGTATCGCTGCTGTCAGAAGAAAACCTCATATCTCCATTTTTGTCACTTTTTAGTTTTTGACATAGTTTGAAAGTACCCATGGTCCTATACATTGCGTGTAAATTTCATGATCAATGGACCAAAAGAAAAGGCTGAAAATGACTTGGAAAAAAGTCTGGTTCCATTGACTTACATTAAAAGTAAAATAGGTTTTTTCCTTCTCCTGTAAAGTTACCATTTTGGAGATACAAGGTTTGCTTCCGACAGCAACATATCAGGCTCTGAATCTCACAAACTGCTTTGACAGTTCATCAAAAATCTACTTTGTTTTTGCTGCTCATTTTCATTTGTGAATCTTAATCAGGAAAGACTTTTTACTTGCTGATCGACTGGATAACACATAACATCATTAACGATGTAATAACCCAACGCACCATCCACTATGGCACTGGATCTCTCATTGCGCCTGTGTTTAGTCTATTCGAGATTCCTGAACACCTCCAGATGGTTTGAGATGTCTGTGATGCTTCATAGATGCAGTTAGCACCATGCTAACTGGTGTACATAGGCTTCCATTACTTTTTAGCTACATTAGCCTCGTAGCTCCAGTGCACAACTAAAGAATAAAACTTCAGACACCAAACACATCTTGGTTGATTTAGGGAAAGAGTAAAAAACTGTAAATCAGAATTTTTGGACAAACGGTCACTTTAAGGTCGCCTGTTGATCAGCTTGTCCTTTATGTCTTTAGTTTCCGGAAGTTCAACATCCTAGGGACCGCCATGAAAGTGATGAACATGGAGGAATCGATTGGGATGGCTGCCGAATTCCGACATCTGGTAAAGGAAGAAAAAACACTAAAACATGCTTCTCTTTATTTCAGATCCATTTCCTATCACAAAATACAAGAACTGACACTTTGTTTTTACCAAAACAGCAACTGAAAGAGCGGAAGGTGGCTGGGAATCGGACGAGTGAGGTAGGGCGACTTTATTCTTCACATTCTGTACATTTCTTTAATGTGTAAGCGTAGGCGTGTGCAGGTATGTGTATGAGTGCTAGTGTTAGTTATGGGCATTTCAGGCTAATTTGATGTTTGAATTTGTAAGGCAGTATTTAATAATATTAAATAATAATAAAAAAAAGAATGAGGACTCCTTAGGGTATCACACACCGTGTGCATTGGATGGATATTCTATGTTAAACAAATCTATATAAAACAAATCACATGGCTTGAATTTTACAGAAAGAAAGACACCAATCTAAAGTCTGTAAGATAAACAAACATCTTCTGCGTTCACCTCAGCTGACGTCACTTTAGCTGGACAACAAACAGCGAGTTACGTTTCCAGTCCTGATTAATTACGTTTTATTCCTTTAAATCTACACAAGCAAAAGGAGCTCCAGCTCAATGTTTATTGGTTCTTTTCCGTGACACTTCCTATGTGCTGTATCGCCGCTGTCCAAAAAAATAAAACTCAAATTTTTTTCATTGTATTTTTTTGTAGGGAGACATTCGCAAGCATGCAATGACTATACATAATTCCATGCCTGTGCTAATTTCCAAGTATATATCCTTTTACACATCTTGTAACTCATACCTCTCCCCCTTTGTTTGTTCTTTAAAAGTTCTTCTTTCCCCTCTTTTCAACATTCTTGACCCTCTATTCATGGTGTTGCCATGTGGGAACAATTACTTTCTCAATTTTACTAAAAAGCAGTAATAGAAAATCTGTGTTTTCCCATTTAAGAGAAAGGCTCTTATATTGAAAGGACAAATGCTTTATGACGTCACATGACCAGGAATTCTTATTATGATGTTGTTTTTACCATGTCTTCCAAATACCAATTGAAATTGTATTACTTTGCAGTATTTGTAAATATTGGGTCGTATATTTCACTAAGCATGAGTTGGATTTGTTTGGTCTTGTTTTGCATACAAGGATGTTTTTAGAGAAAAATGACATTAATATTACATTAAACAAATAATGGCACACATTAAAACTTGAGAAGATACCCGGGTGTAAAAAATAAATAAAATAATTGATAAATAAATGAAGGGCGGCACGGTGGCGCAGTGGGTAGCGCTGTCGCCTCACAGCAAGAAGGGCCTGGGTTCGATTCCCGGCCGGGTGACCAGGGTCGTTTCTGTGTGGAACCTGTTCTCCCCGTGTCTGTGTGGGTTTCCACCGGGTACTCCGGTTTCCTCCCACAGTCCAAAAACATGCAGTCAGGCTGATTGGACATGCTGAATTGCCCCTAGGTGTGAATGTGTGTGTGATTGTGTATGTATGTCTGTCTGTCTGCCCTGCGATGGACTGGCGACCTGTCCAGGGTGTATCCTGCCTTCCGCCCAATGACAGCTGGGATTGGCTCCAGCACCCCACCGTGACCCAGAAGGATAAGCGGTTTAGATGATGGATGGATAAATAAATGAATTAACAAATAAATAAATAAGAAAAGTAAAAATAAAGGAAAAACTGCAGGGGAAAAGGGGAGTACTCACTCACATTGTATCTGTATTGTGTTTGTGTTACAGGGTCCGCTGATCGTCACTGAAGAGCTCCACTCTTTCACCTTTGAGGCAGAGCTCTGCTGGTCTGGACTGGTCATCAATTTTGAGGTAAGAAATGAGTTCTTTAAAAAAAGTAAAGAGAATACAGTCAGAAGAGATCTGTTGCTTAAATTTCGTTCGTCCTTTATCGAGAGTCGTCTCACATCATCTATTACAGTGTTGTGTGGTGATATAAATATCCAGACCCATAATAAAGTGCTAGACATTGTGAGTAAAGGTTCAAAGATAATTGCAATATCACTTCTTTCGGTTGATTCTGTTGATTCGAAGAGATTAATTACAGATTCCTCTCATCCAGCAAACCATCTTTTCCAAACTCTTCCTTTGGGAGACGCTATAGATCCATAAAACTAAGATAACCTGCTTCAAGAACAGCTATTTTCCTACTGCTGTAAGGTTACTAAACTACTAAACTGAGTAGTGTAAATATAGACTGACTAAGATTTCCAGCCCTCCAGAATCCACAGATTAAAGTACTGTGCAATTTTTTATGATCCGTCTATATTAAATATTGTATGCTGTGTACTGTGTGTTGTATATTGTTTATTGTTATTAATGTCTTATATTGTATGTTTGTGTATTGTTACAACAGAGTTGAATTATACCTTGTTGCACCAGAGACAGTTACCACCACCATGTCGTGTGGCAATAACAAGAATCAATCAATCAATCAAGTCAATCAAGTCTACTTAACCCCTTAAAATCCCAGGCTTATTAAATACTAAGGCTTATTATTCAGTATATACAGGGACTTCAGTGCAAACTGGCTGAGCTAATCTTAGGTCATAGAAGCGTGTAATAAAACTTCGGCCCGCTGGCAGGAACTGGTCTGTTAAGAGGTTAATAGTCTATACTAGGGTTTGCGTAGTGGACTAATAAATCCACTGTTGAGGACAGTGCCTGAAATGTAGGGGCAGTAAAAACTGGAGTGAACAGGCAGGTGGAGAGAACAGAGATTCGTTTTTTTTCTGCTAAACACAAAGAGCAAAGTACTTCATTTGTGTAGAAACACTACAATTGTTCTACAAGCTCTGTAAGACTGTGTTGAAATAACGCCTTGTAAGCCAGAAAACTGCTGAGTCACAGACACAAACCGCTCAGCAAGCAGAAACAAACCAGCATTGGCAAGCAGTGGTGAGTTGTCTGCAGATATTGGTCAGACTTGCAAAGATATCTTGTTTATTTGCTACCTATGACTTGAAGGCTTTAAAAACAGGATATATCTCACTGTGAAAGGCTTATGACTACTGCTTGCTTACTAGCGTGTAGCTAGATAAACAATCAGTTGTTTCCCTTGCAATTGATAAAAACACAGATGCGCAGGTAGCCAGAGCCAGTTTAAACTCAGTGGTTCGGCCAGGGAGAGGTGGGATTCTGAGAGCTGTGGTGATTTTAGCGTCCAGTTTACATCAGACAGTCTAGGCAGAGACTTACTGAAACGTACCGAAATACAACAGATGTTCTTCTGCAGTGCATATCGTTCACCTCAAACCGCCACCACCAAATCTTCCACCAGCCCCCATTAGCATATTACTAATAAATATTTTTCACTGATGTGTACAACACGTGTGTATGTAATACTGCTATGGTAACGATCACTAGTCGACGAGGAAAAATGAATAGCCGTGTAACGTCTAGTCTGAACTTAGAAAATGTTTGATGAAAGATCAGATTTGTTCATTTCCCCCTTACCACAAATTAGTCATTCAGCCATGTGTTATGTTTGCTTCATTAGTTTTGCACTGGAAGGCTGATTTCTAAAAGACTTCATTTTGTGGTTTTGACACTGTGACTCACCGTGACCTACATGGACAAGGACTAAAGAGTACTAGCATAGCTAAAAACGGAAAGTAGCAGCAGCAGCAAACCTCTTCAACTCCTTGAGACCACCGGTGGTTCCAAAAACGCACTTCGTCATATTCTTCATAACTTTCATATTTCATAAGCTACATTCTAAAGGTGGGGGTCGTATGAGAGCTGTAACTGTCTTCTTTCCAGTCAAATAGATGGGTGATGTAATTTTCACCCTTATTATAAAAGATTTTTTGTCTACTGAAAGTCGACCCATTTTTCCACAAATCTGAGCTATAAACTATAAACAGATGGCGTCTCTTCAGTGATCTGCTCTGTACAAATTATTTTTATAAAATAATACAAAGAGCGTCTAAGATTTTTGACTTTAAGCAGTAAATTGTAAGAATATAGCAATATGTGTGATCATAAAACACATGTTCTGTTAATTTGAGGGGAGCTTTTACCAAAAATAAATAAATAAATAAAATAAAAATTGACATTTATTTCATGCAGTTACTGAATAACTTGCCTTACGATTTGGTCATGTAAATTCAGATGGACAAACCAAAATATGCCCTGGAGAAAAAGAGGTTAAAGCCTGAATTTTATCCAGGCTTTTATCTATTTTTGCGTAGATAATAGTGCCAGAAAGTGCTATAAACCACTTAATCAAGTATACTGAACTATATACATGTACACACACACTTTCCCCATTCGCTCGCTGACTCTGTCTGTCCGTCTCTCTCTCCAGACAACGTCTCTCCCCATCGTGGTGATCTCCAACGTCAGCCAGCTGCCATGTGGCTGGGCCTCCATCATGTGGTACAACATGCTGACATCTGAACCCAAGGTAAGCCACACCCCCAAAGCATCAGATCCTCAACCTTCACCAATTCATTTCTGTTCTGTTAAAGCCCCACTTTCATTCAAAAGAAAATTTTCATTGGTTCAATTAATTTTGTGTGTAAATGTCTTGTTTTTGGTTTTCCTCACTGATGTCCAGTGAGAGCAACAGTGACTAGATGTACCAACTCCCAACTCCTGTGGCTTTTACTTTTATACTAACATACAATGAACAGAAGACAGTTAAATTGTTAATTGTAATTATTTATATGGCAATTATCATCAGCTAAATTTTCAGCTAATCAGCTAATGCACTTAATAATCCGATAACAACATGTTTACATGCTCTTGAGTAATCAGATGATGGGAAAACTCCGGGTCTACATGAGTCAGACAGTAATCAGATGTCTGCTTTGCAACCAGCCAGTAAACTCACAGAAGAAGACGTGACGTAAACGTAAAGCTCAAACTTCATGCCGCGTTTTGCCGCTTTACCTGAAAATACGAACACACATCATCTAGAAGATGAAGAATGTTTAAATCCTTAATTTCTTCAAGCATGTATTTGGTTTCAGCGTTGCTCCAAAAGCGTTTTGCTGCATCTCGCGGCGACGCTGCTCGCTTATTTCCGGTACCGTCGTCTGTTTTCGCACATGCTCAGACTGAGAAATCTGAAAGAAATCAGAGTAAAAGTTTACAGCACTGAGAAATCTGATTACTGAGCTAAAATCCAGCCTCTTTATCAGATTTCTTAATCGGATTTCTACACCTTACTCCCATTTGAGAAATCAGAGTGTGCTGTTTACACGACCATTTGAATAATCGGATAACTGCAGAAATGGGATCATGATCGGAGTATTGAGTGCGTCTTTTGCCACTTGTGGAATATGGGAAACCTACCAGATACAACATTCTTGCTATACTGTGCAGTTTAGGCCTAATCTAAACAGCACACGGATCACATGTACTAATAGTAACAGACCCAACTCCCCCAGTGAAGGAGAATGTCGTTCAGAGAAAACTCCAGGGTAAACCTCATTGCTGTTTGATTAGTGCCCCCTTGAGGAGAATTCACTTAGAGTGGCTGTACATATAATAAAAACAGTGCTGGCACCAGTGTATCAGTAGTGGTTTGCAAGAGGAACTGTTATTTATTGCCATATTGATTTTTTTTGTCTCTCCCTTGTTGTGGCCCCTTTTATGTAGCTGTCTGCTCTTCCCTTTACGCTCTCTCCCCAGAATCTGTCGTTCTTCGTGAACCCTCCTTCGGTCAGTTGGGGTCAGCTGTCTGAGGTGCTGAGCTGGCAGTTTTCCTCCATTACTAAGAGAGGCCTAAATTCAGAGCAGCTGAGCATGCTGGGACATAAACTGCTGGGTGAGTGTGGATAATGTAGTCGTTTATTTATGGCCAAATTAGTTAAAGTGTGTACGTTAATTCTCTTCTTTGGAGTTTTAGTGCACCACGTTGAGATTCTTCCAGTTAGTCCTCATTCACTTCGTATAGAAATCGCTAAAATGAAAAAGAATAGCAGAGAAGGAGCTTCAGATGTCAGTTTACACACTGAAATCCATCACTGCTTCATTCAGTTATTGAGATTAAGTCAGTCAGAGTGGTTTGGTGTGAAATGGTTCAGATTTCTTCACAGTGGTGGTGATAGGAACCAGGGGTCACCATGACTACAACTCAAATATAGACATTTTATTTACTATCCAGGACCACCAGTGACCTACACTTATAATTTTTATATGTAATGTTAATGATGGTTTTTTGGGGGCATCATTTTTCCTTCAAATCCTGGTCGAAACCATCTTTCAGAGTTTTCATGAAACGATGTCTCGGACATCAGGCACTACGTTTGTAATAACTTCCTGTGAGGGAGCTTTTAGAGGTGGACGTCTGGTTCCTATCACCACCACTGTGAACAGTTCTGACTAAGTTTCTCAACAGTAAACCATTTCACATCAGACCACTCCGAATGAGTTTGTTGACAGCAATTCAACGAACAGCACAAATAAACTGTAAACTCACACCACCCAGATTATTGAAAGCAAACCTGGGGACAGACATTGCAAATATTATGATATCTAAGTGATTTTTTAATATCTATGTGTCCATACCTCTCACATGAACATTCAGTAAGATAAATGATGACCCTGCACGGAAAGCTCAGGAAACTGTCTTAATATGTTGGCAAAATGTGATGCCAGTAATTTGGTTGAAAATGTTGTGTCTTGACCCCACAGGCCCAAAAGCATCGAATGACCCGGAGGCTCAGATTCCCTGGAATAAATTCTGCAAGGTGTGTAGAGGAAACAAAGACACACACACACACACAAACACAAACACACACACACACACAATCAATATTATCATGATCAAAACCAGATGACCAGTGGTGTAATGATTGTCATTTACACTGTAAGCTGATTTTAAATGGAACAAATCGAATGAATTGTGATTTCTTACAAAACAAACTTGTTTAAGGAAATTTGTGGGAGATTTAAACATACAGTAGTGATGTTCTCTGAATGGCTCAGGCAGCGTTCACAAGCTGACCATGGATTCAAATGATTTACCACTGCCTCAAGTTTGGCTTTAATTTAATTTTATCAGACTTTGATGAGCCCATATCGCTGCATATGTGGATGTTCTGTACATTAGTTAGCTAGTAATCGTAGTGCTGGTACACATATCATCAATACTCCACGTACTATAATTCCATGTCCTGTAAAATATCCCTATAGTGTAAAGATTTTTTGCTTTTTTGTATATAATGTTTATATATATATATATATATATATATATATATATATATATATATATATATAAATAAGAAATTGTAACTGTTAAGTAATTAACAAGGTTAATTACTTTGTTAATTATTCTCTTGATACTTCTTTTCTTGAATGCCTTGCTGTCCCTTTGCTGTTGTAGCACTGTGAATTTCCAACAGTTGTGTTATGGGATGGCAGGGAGTGCAAAGAGGAAAACCAGTGAGAAAGGTTTGTTAAATAAACTTATTGGGACAATAGAGTGAATTTGGCACGTTGGAGTTGAGGTGACCCAGAGTCAGGCTCAAACTGCTCAAATGTACTGATCGGTGGTCCGTGGAGTTAACGCTGTGCCACCGGGAAGCACAGGCAACAATGGGAAAAACACCTCAAGGAATGGGGAATAAAAAGGCAGGAAAAAGGGCAAACAAAGGAAACGCTGAACGCAGCTCAAACAAAGGCTGAACTAGAAACATGAAATAAAAGATAACGAGAAAACAAAAGTTACTTCCTCTGTAATTATGAGGGGAAGGCAGACTTTATGGAGCGAACACCTTTAGTATGGCTTGGAGCCGTTTGTAGCTCAAGCCATCTTGTGGTTTTTAAGTAGTTTTGGGACAATTTCTCTCTGTTTTTTTCCAGACCTCTTTTTGTTTTTGTTTTTCTTTTCTTTTTCTATTCGTTTAAATACCCACCTGGGCTGCGTACCGTACCGGTCACCCCTCTACAGAGGTGTGACAAAGAGCTGCTGTTTGCCACAGCCTTAAGTAAAGGAGTCCACAGGTGTGTCAGTTTGGGCCTAATCAGCCCGAGGGCTTCTGGGAATTGGAGTTCCCTGAAGTTATGGCACCTCGCAGGCTGGGCACCTTACAAGCTGTGGGACTAATAAAGGATTATCTTGTCATATCATACAGTGTCAGAAAGCAGTTTGATTCAGTTTTGTGAAGGGTTATATTAAGTCTTACAGGAATAATTTAACTGAATTATAATATTTCTCATAAAAATTTGAATCGCTGAGTCGAAATGTTGTTCAGTGTATTGAATTGAGTTCATTCCCTTACAATGGACTGTTCTGTGTGTGTGTGTGTGTGTGTGTGTGTGTGTGTGTGTGTGTGTGTGTGTGTGTGCACTCGCACAGGGCGGCAGTGAGAGAAACTTTACCTTCTGGCTGTGGATCGAGGGAATCCTAGACTTGATAAAGCGGCATCTGCAGAGCCTGTGGGATGATGGGTACTAAGAATCCTTACTTTCATTTGCTCACACCCCTCTTACTGACCTAAAGCTTTACAGATAATACTATGGTTAGAACTGCATCATACATCTTGTACATTACAAGATTATATACATTGTGTAATTTCTCAGGATCTGATTTGTGGATTGGTTTGGGTGAAGTGTCTGTCTAATTTCCCCAGATTTCCACAGAGAGACAGATAGCCCTGACTGATCATAGGTCTGGGTCATAGCCCAGACGTTCATGTCAGCATTACGTCACAGGAAACACTCAATAACAATAACAACACAGCTGTGAGTTACTACTGACATACTGTAAAACTGCACACGCTGCAGATTCATACTGGATTAAAATCACTCCACAATTATTACTGTCAGACTGTAAAACTGCACACACTGCAGATTCATACTGGATTAAAATCACTCCACAATTATTACTGTCAGACTGTAAAACTACACACACTGCAGATTCATACTGGATTAAAATCGCTCCACAGTTATTACCGTCAGACTGTAAAATGGATTATTCCACCCTGTATTGTAAACATAGCCTTTATACTCAGTCTTTAAGTGCAACAATAGTGTTTTGACGTGGCACATAATATGAGACCGGCAGACGTCTTTGAATACATTATGCAAGAATACCACTCTTTAACTTCCTCTCCTTGTCTTCTCTCTCTCTCTGTCTTCCCTTCTGTCTCTGTCTTTTGTCTCTCTTGTATAACGTGTTTCTCTGTCTGTGTGTCAGGTGTATTATGGGCTTTGTGACGAAGGAACGAACAAAAGCTCTGCTGAATAATAAAGCTGCCGGAACGTTCCTGCTGCGTTTCAGTGAGAGCAACCGAGACGGCGCCATCACCTTCAGCTGGGTCGAACACACTTTAAATGGTGAGACACACCTGCATCTACATATGGGTGTGTATGTGTACTACAGGGGTGTTTCGTCCACCATGGACACTGGGGTGCCACCTTACTGGTTACGACGAGATAAAAAAGTACTGAAGTTGAAAAGTATTTTTCAACTAAATACGTAAGTTTTTGTTTTAATATACACAGATCAGGCATAACATTCTGACCACCTCCTTGTTTCTGCGCTCATTGTCCATTTTATCAGCTCCACTTACTATATAGGTGCACTTTGTAGTTCTACAGTTACAGACTGTAGTCCATCTGTTTCTCTGATACTTTGTTACCCTGTTCTTCAGTGGTCAGGACCCCAATGGACCCTCACAGAGCAGGTACTATTTGGGTGGTGGATCATTCTCAGCACTGCAGTAACACTGACATGGTGGTGGTGTGTTAGTGTGTGTTGTGCTGGTCTGAGTGGATCAGACACAGCAGTGCTGCTGGGGTTTTTAAACACTGTGTCCACTCACTGTCCACTCTATTAGACACTCCTACCTTGTCAGTCCACCTTGTAGATGTAAAGTCAGAGACGATAGCTCATCTGCTGCTGCACAGTTTGTGTTGGTCATCCTCTAGTCCTTCATCAGTGGTCACAGGACGCTGCCCACAGGACGCTGCTGGCTGGATATTTTTGGTTGGTGGACTATTCTCAGTCCAGCAGCGACACTGAGGTGTTTAAAAACTCCAGCAGCACTGCTGTGTCTGATCCACTCAGACCAGCGCAACACACACTAACACACCACCACCACGTCAGTGTTACTGCAGTGCTGAGAATGATCCACCACCCAAATAGTGCCTGCTCTGTGAGGGTCCGTGGGGGTCCTGACCACTGAAGAACAGGGTAAAAGGGGGCTAACAAAGTATCAGAGAAACAGATGGACTACAGTCTGTAACTGTAGAACTACAAAGTGTACCTATATAGTAAGTGGAGCTGATTAAATGGACAATGAGTGTAGAAACAAGGAGGTGGTCAGAATGTTATGCCTGGTCTGTGTGTGTCTGTGAAGCTGGCTGGAGGGTCAAAAAATTGCTGGTTTATAAATTCTATTTACAGCCACAATATTTAATAACTAAACAAAAAAAAAAGAAACAAGAATATGTGTTCGTTCTTGTGTGCCATTTTTGTTCAGTGCACAGAAATGTGTTTGCAGTTCTGATGTAAGTAGTTGTTAGTATTTCATTTCTTATTATTTTGCAGAACAGTAAATGGTGCTTTTGTAATTTTGTATTTCGCTATTTGTTTAAAACAGCTTTAAAGAGACCTCTAGGTTGATGTTCCGTCGTGTTTTTTGTTCGTATGTCTTCTGCTTGCGTCATTAGAATGGAGGAAATTGCGTAAATAATGGTCACAATATGGGGAAGATTGGTTTCATCAGCTAAGTTATGGATGACCACAGGTAAAAAAGCAGCAGGGGTGCTGTAGAAAAGAGGAAACGATAATCAGTGACACGGTGTAAATAGGGCAAAAGGGACTCTTCCTTGAGACTTATGAACTGTATTTGTGTTATTAATAATGGCACCGCCCTTCCTGTTGACAAAACCAAGCCTAGGCACTTCACTGCAGGCCAAAAATATCGGGAGCAAAGGGCATTTTTTTTTTTTGTTTTTCTTTTTATTTCAACAAAAGTTAGCAACTAAGCCTATTTTAAAAAATACACGAATATATTAAACACAAAACTGAAAAACAGTTTTTCTGTGTGTGTTCTTGTAGATGAGCCACAGGTCCGCTCGGTTGAGCCCTACACTAAGAAAGAGCTGTCTGCAGTCTCGCTGCCCGACATCCTGCGCAACTACAGAGTGATGGCAGCGGATAACGTTCCTGAAGACCCTCTGCGCTTCCTGTTTCCCGACACCCCCAAAGATGAAGCCTTCCAAAAATACTACTCCAAACCTACTGACAGTAAGGCCCAGTCCCATTTCTTATTTTTATCCCTACCCCTTGTTTTCGAGGGTCATCCTAACCCCTTAGGCTGAGCTTTATCATTTCCTGCCTTCATCATTTTCATTCTTTTTATAGAACACGAGCCGATGGACGTGGATAAGAAGCAGGATGAAGGCTACATCAGAACAACTCTCATCTCTGTCTCTGAAATGTGAGTCAAATCTGCGCTGTTGTTTACAGTTCACCAGACCACAGTTTAGCTTTTAACTCGGGCAGTAGTTATAAGCTTCTTAAATTTGTGCTTTAATTATATAATTCATGATTCATTTCAGAAGCTTTTCAGAACAGCTGTTAAAATAAAAAAAGGATTTCCAAATCAATTCAGTGAAAAATAATCCAGTTCTGTGATTCATTTTAGTGGAGGCTGTGACACTGAAGTGATTTCAAACTGTGTCACATGAAAAATCCTTTTAAAAAAATGTCATTTCTATCTTAAAAGGTTTGCATGTAATTTGTGTTCACTGTTATAAAGTAGTAAAATCAGTCTATTCTGTCTGCAGGAAAACATCGGAGTACAACGACAACATCATGCCCCTGTCTCCAGAGGTGTATGGGGAACTGGAACGCATGGTGGTCAGTATAAAACCCCAAAGCATCTCCTGATTTGAAATGGTCCATTAGAATAAATAATCGTTTGTACTATATAGCGCTAGAGTGATTTTACAGTACTGCACACCATACATCACAAACCAGTAATTTTCACAGTACTTTACTGTTCACCCGAGGAACTGCTAATCTTTACAGTGAACGCTACCAGAGTAATCACTAATCTTTACAGTACACTTTACCAGAGTAATCTCTGATGTTTACAGTAAATCCTAATATAGTAAAATTACAGTGAAGGTTACCAGAGTAGTCTCTAATCTTTATAGTGCATTTTACCTGAGTAATCACTAATCTTTACAGTACATTTTACCTGAGTAGTCACTAATCTTTACAGTACATTTTACCTGAGTAACAACTAATCTTTACAGTACATTTTACCTGAGAAATCACTAATCTTTTCTGTATATTTTACTTGAGTAATAACTAATCTTTACAGTACATTTTACCTGAGAAATCACTAATCTTTACAGTACATTTTACCTGAGTAGTCACTAATCTTTACAGTACATTTTACCTGAGAAATCACTAATCTTTTCTGTATATTTTACCTGAGTAATAACTAATCTTTACAGTGCATTTTACCTGAGTAATCCCTAATCTTTACAGTGTATTTTATCTGCGTAATCACTAATCTTTACAGTACATTTTACCTGAGTAATCACTAATCTTTACAGTACATTTTACCTGAGTAATCACTAATCTTTACAGTGTATTTTATCTGAGTAATCACTAATCTTTACAGTACATTTTACTAATTACTCCCTTTTACAGTTAACTTTACCTGAGTAATCACTAATCTTTACTGTACACTTTACCTGAGTAATCACTAATCTTTACAGTGCACTTTACCAGAATTGCCTCAGTGAACCCTACCAGAATAATCGCTTTACAGTGAGCTTAACCGGAGTAATCAATGATCTTTACTCTGGTAAAGTTCACTTGAAAGATTATTGATTATTTTGGGAGAGTAATCACTAATCTGTACAGTACACTTTACTAATATAATCGCTTATATTTACAGTGAACTTCACCAGTGTTCCCTAATCTTTACAGTGAACGTTCCTAAAGTAATTATTAATCTTACTGTTAATTTGAAATATTAGTTATCGCTAATATTCTGTTTTATCAGAATCATCAGTAAAGGTTGCTTTAGCAGAGTTTTGATATTGTAAAAGTTCTGTAAATGTTTACTGCTTGATGTCACTAATAAATTCTGCTGTCTTCACTCTCCTGTTCCAGACTCGAGATCTGTCAGGAGGCATCGGAGAGGTAAGTAATTCTAATGTTTCTTGTTTATGAAATATAATTTAATGTAGTTTAACATAAACCGCAGCTAGGGTGACTCACAATGCCTTTTCTCGCATGTGCAGCTGTGCCGCGGCTTTTCCGACGCCTGCTGAACGGACGGAGGACAGGCTCTCCCTTCATTCACAGTGGTGAAATGATCACCTGACCTCCAGCTTTTCTTGTTATCAACACCTTCAAAAAGATGTTTTAGAAAAATTCATTGTTCATTTGTTGAACACAGAGGCCAGACTACAGCAAACACTGTAAAGTTTAAAGGACAGCTAAGGGAATCATGTGGACCTTATTATTATAGCACTTAGCTGACGCTGTACAAACATTAGCACTTTTTCCCCAAACCTTCTCTACTGTCATTCATGCTGATGCTTTCTTTTAGGAAGCATATTTGATAAATTATCAGTTTGACTGTTCTGCCTTAATTTGAGAGGCAGAAAGCAGAGGGTTTTAGAAAGACAGCAAAAAATGTGCCAGTGGTGTTTTTGATATATTGATATAAAAATAATTCAATTTCAGAAGAGCCTCGGGCTCAGTTTTCAACTGGTAAAGTGGATGTTATTGGAATTTCATGCCATTTTTCTGTTTCTTTGCATTGTGCGTTGCTCATTTTTTTACAAATTGCACTCACTGCTAAAGTCAACAGCTTGTCGATGGCTAAATGTTTCTATTAGAAAAGCTGTGAATTTCGCACCTTTTGTTTTAAACTGAACAGATTTATCTTTAAAAAACAAAAAAGAGACAGCCAGCTACTTGGAAGCTTTGTTTTTAATTAGATATTTCCTTAGTGAAATAAATACTCAGTGCAGTTTGTAACACAATCCGACAAAGCCTGTAACAGCGAAATGCTAAGAGCAGAAAAAAAGAAAACGAAGCAGTAAAACAGACACTGACATAATATAATACATTCGTAACAGTAGTAAACACAGCCAGTGAGATATTACCTCAGTTGAAAGAGTTAAACACCAGGTTTCACCAAAAAAATAGATACAGCTATAGGGAAATATAGTCTAGAGCCAAAGTTATGACCCAGGGTGTGCTCACTTTTTCACAATTCCTGCGTTTCTTGGCCATCGTTTTGTAGTTTTGCTATAAATAATGACTGGCTTTCACAAACATAACACACATGCTTACACAAACGCACTCATACACATACACGTACACCTATATACAGTACTCAAGTAGCAATCTAAGGGTTTCCTAGACAGGGATTAAGCCTAATCTTGGACTAAACTGCTGTCCCAGCGATGGGTCACCTTCGGAAAGTCTGGGCTTAGGGTTAAACCTGGTCTGGGAAACTGACTTTGTGTTTCACAAGAAATATTAAGCCTATTCAATACATAAGCTTCTTGTGCTCGTGGTCTTCGTGTGCGTCCGTACGTAACTCAGTTTTGTTTATTTTTACACCTTTTATTTTTACAACTCGCTCAGTATAATCGTTTGATAAGACAGGGAAAGGAACGTTCTGGGGACCTTCATGATCAGCTAGCTACATCTGATGGAAGCCTGGGTACACTGAGGAGCGTTTACACAGCTTTCCAGAGACGTACCTGCAAAAAGATGCACAAAGCTCTGACTCAAGGTGCTCAATTCAGTTTACAGGTTTTTACCTCTGCTTGTGGGTTCACACTTCAACAGAACGTAATAGTTTCACAATAGTTAACAAATAAGTTGTAGTAGTTCAATAAATTATTGAATACTAATGAAATAACACTTGGCCTACTTTTGTTAGGTCTAAAAAAAAAGTTAAAAGGTTGCAAAAGTTGCAGATTCCTGCAGTGTATCATGTGTGATGCACTAAATTAGCCTGGGTCATACACGTTGTTATAATTCTTTTAGTGTTTTTTTTTTAACCTTACCCGTCACGTCTCCTCGGTGTATCCAGGCATTTATAAATTCATAATCACTGGGAAAGAAGACAAAAACTTTGTTGTCATACAAACAAAAATAAATAATTGCGTAAAAATAAATAAATAAATAATAAAAATAAATGTTACAAATCAGATGTTTCTTCTTTTTTTCTGTGGTGCGTCCTACCTTCACGCTTCATTTTTCTCAATTTTGTTTTGGTTCAATTATTCCTCAATCTTTTTAATCATACAGAAAGTTTTTCAATTGATGCTACCACAAAAATGTTTGGTCCCTAAAAACTCGTCTTCACCTGTTACGGTTCAGTGCGCTCCAGAACATTCTCACCATCACAAATACATACGAAACTAGTGCAAATATTTCCATACAATCAAAGACTTTTTTTTTTTCATTTGGAACAGATTAGAAATCGCAAGACTTGACGAACCATTTAAAAGGCAAACAAAACACTGCAACCATCCTGAAAAGCTCATCAACAAGACATAAGCATTAAATATATACACTACCGTTCAAAAGTTTGGGTCAATTGTCATATTAGACTTTTTTTTTTATTTTATTATTTGTACTTTAATATTTTAAAATACTGAATACGTCTAAACAAGACTTTACAAACCTTCTTATCCACATCAATATCTGATGGTATCATTCTGCATGTTAAATTTAGTAGAATTTCATTCCAAATATGAATTTTATTACAAGTTAAATAAAATTATTAATAGTTTTATTATAAATAACAACTGTACAAAGAACATTTTAATCAGATTTCAGAGACCAGAGGGTTTTTAGATGTATTCAGTATTTTGAAAAATATTAAATGAGAATTTACAAGCCTTTTCATGCACGTTGAGATTTGATATTTTAAAAATTTACATTAATTGTATTAAAACGTTACATTTAATAGAATTTCATTCTAATATATTAATTCTGTTAATATTAGAAAACTAATGTTACATAATGGAAGAATTTATGCAGTTATCTGCTTAAAAACATTTTTTGTTTTGAAGTTTTTTGTCTTGTTTTAGATGATTGAAAACATTTACAAACTTTTGAGCAGTAGTGTAATTAAAAAAAAAAAAAGTTTTAGAAGGATACATCCCACTCAGTAAAAGCAGTATAATCCACCCCAGCCTACTTTGAGGAGCCCTCTAGCTTTGTAATTATCTCAACGACATCATTAAAGAGCTATAAGTCAAAATATTCAGTATTATAACAATACATCAATGTACACTATATTATATATTTAAAATACATTTATAGTGTGTGTATGTGTGAAAACACACAAAATAACAGGAAAGCTACAGATCTATCACTGCGGACTGAAGAAACCAGCACAGTATGAGTTCACACACACACACACACACACACACAGTGTGCTCATACACACAGAACACACCCAGCACCACTGGATCAGGGAGGGTAAGTGCAGACGTACGCCATCTGCTGGTTGGCTGCAAAACATCCGCCATTCATGCTTTCTGTGATGTCATAACTGCTGTGAAAGCTTACCGGCGATCATCGGGGTCCAAGCACTATGTGCCATTATGTAGCCAGTAGAACACTAATGCTGTTGTAGAATGGCCTCTAATTTGAACAGGTCTGGGGTCTCAAAAGAGGCCAAATTTCCAAAATGTATGTAGATATGAGGGGCTCAGTCTAAACTAATAAAAAACAACAGTTCAGTTACTAGTGATTATACACTAATGAATACATGATTTTGCATGTATTTGTATGAGGTATACTCCATTTCTGTTGTTAGATCTGCTAAATCTTACACAATGCAACTTTAAAACAAGCAAAATTATCTGCCAGTTTAGTGAGATGAAAATAAGTTAAATAATTTTAAAATATGGTCCTAACAATCCCAAGATTAAACAAAGATTAGCTATAACTGAATAGATTTAAACTCTAGTAGACAGCATATTTTGTAGTGCAGCAGCTCTTATTTACCGCTAACCTACATTTCGAACTCAACCAGCGATGCGACTGCTTTCCTTTCCAACAGGATCCAGAGTGCTCCGAACTTAAACTCTTGTCATAAATACGCACAGCTGCACAAATACTTCACATATCTACACAGGTTCTACAGGTGATTTTCAGTAATAGAGGCACACACACACACACACATACAAACGCACAAACTTTTCTTCGGCGTCGGAGGACTGAGCTGCGCTACAGCATCCCGTCCAGGTTCTTCTCGACCGTCTCCTTGTCCCCGGCGGGCGTGGTCTCCTGAGGGCTGTACTTGTTGTGGTAATCCTGCAGGATCGTCACCACGTCGTGATGACCAAAGTGCACGGCCTCGTCCATCGGCGTGTTCCCCCACCTGGACAAAAATTCAGCACAGATTTTAATTTAAAACTTATTCAAATTTAATAATGAAAAGAAAACTAACAAAACAAGCAACAAGAACAAAAACAAAAGCATGGCTGTACATTTATATCATTTTATACTATTCATTTATACTATAATATTTTGATTATTTCTGACTTGAAACTAACAGAAATTGTGTGGAAAGTGCTGATTCTAAACTTTCAGTCTATACTACATTTTTTAGCAAAGAGCAGATATTATTTTATTGTTGTATTATCTGATGAAGTTATTGTTGTGTGCAGTCGTGTTTTACAGAAGGAAAAAAGTTTTTCATTTTTGCTGTTTTCGCATTTTTTTGACCAACAGAAAAAAGTGCAAACTCCAACCTGTCGATACACATTCAGTGTAATTATATTCAAATAATTATGTAATGAAAGTCAGATGTACAGCAATTATGGTTAAAGACTAACCTTATAAAATGCTTATGAATGGTTTAAAATTACTTTGTTAATGGTTATTAGTTCATAAACATTTTGAAAAAAGCCTGACACAAGGATGTTTTTACACGTCTCTTCATTTTGTGGCGGTGCTCGTACCTGTCCCTGGGTACAGGGTTGACCTTACACGCCTCCAGAAGGAAACGAACGACCTCGGCGTGACCTGCAGACACAAGAGTGGAGCTATTTAGTTTGACATTAGAGAAAAGAAAAAACATAAAATATAAAATTTGCCATAACTTTTGCACAGGCCACATTATGTTTTACTTTTTCCCTAATACAAATAAAACAAACAGTAATTGTGCATTAATATGTGTAGAAGTGTGTTCTCTGTAGAGGATGTGTTCACTTATTTACAAGTGGGTGCCCAAACTTTTGCACATGACTGTATATACATACATACATACATACATACATACATACAAGTCTTAAGTAGCCATGCAATGTTGTTTAAACCTATTCATCTTGGCATCTAAATGAATAATAATTAGAATAAAGTAATAATGATTAAAAGTAAAATAATAATAATTCACTTGAGTGTTTACCAGTAAAAAAAAAAACACCTTAAGAACAAATACAAATACATGTTAAGAGAGTAAAACTTTTTTTTGTTTGTTTTTAGTTATTAATATTTGGTTCATGATTACTCATTGTGCTGAGGTATTGCATGGATTTGTTCACATTCTGTCACAAGCATGCCTGATGTATTATTAATTTGTTTCCTTCTATTTTGTGTTATTTTGAACGAGTAAATTCTTAATGTCTGGATAAATAAGCCAAAAATATAATTTTCCCAGATCTGCACAGCAAAATAAGATTTGTAGGTAAAAATAAAATAATCCTCCTTTACAGTAAAATAAAGCTCTGCTGATCGTTCAACACAGTTTAACAGTAAATGGTCTTAAACTCTGGAGTTAATGTAGAACTGCTAATTCACCCTTTAACCCTGAAGATCAGCGCAGACTGCTGGTCACCATAGCAACACAGACAACAGTCTCGCCTAGCTAGTAGCTAACGAAACGGCAAAGAGAGAGATATAAAGATGAACATCGATAATTTTGGAGATGAATGGACTTATTTGCATTTATAATCACTCCAGCTGGTTTCCTGATATGTTTAATCTGCAACGAGAAACTGACAAACACTAAAAAGCTGCGAGGCTGAAGTCGCTTCTCATTCGCCAGCTTCTTGTTCGAATGTTTCACTTTCACCTTAAATGGTGCACCAGTTACATTCTGGCCCCTCAGGCATCATTTAAGGTAGAACGGGAACATTACAACAAGAAGCTGGTGAATGAGAAGCGACTTCAGCCTCGTAAAAATCGAACGTTGATAGAAATTTTACAAGAAACTGTTCTACTTTTGCGGAAGGGTTTCCTGCCGGAGATGTGAGAAAAGCGGCTATAGTTGAGCTAAAGCTTAAAGCAGAGCAAAGTAAGTCTGTGTTTTCATTTATATTATACTTTTTAGCCTATACTAGTATATCAGCATATAACATATGAGGCATATTTACAGCCAAGATGGTAAAATGGACATAAAATGTTGTGGCTCCCGAGATGGTTTGATTTTTGTTGAAAGGACAAAATGGCTCTTTTTTAACATTTGGGTTGAGACCCCTGACTTTGGTTAAGTAAATCATAACTAGCATCTCTGACTCTGAATAGAGTTCTCAGTACCTTCTGCTGCAGCGACGTGGAGAGCCGTCCTGGAGTCGTAATCTCTCTGTTCCATATCCATAGAGGAGAGAGCGAATCTGCACAAACAGAGCAGCAGAAAAGGCCATCAGAAAGACTTCAGGTGGGAAAGAGATATAAAGTGATATAAAGTGATATAAAGTGATATAAAGTGAGCGTATACCTCCTCAGAGCAGACACGTCTCCAGTGTAGGCAGCAAACAGCAGATTTATAACAGACTTCACCTGGAAGAGAGCACAGAGGGTGACTGGAGATTTAACAGGGAGCACTGCGGTTCTCACTTCATCCACAAGGTGTCAGGACATGCTGGAAAAATAGGTCCATTTCCCCATTATCTGATTACCCAAGAACATGAACACACACTGAAGCAGTTACTGACACAACCTGATTTTCTGCAGCTATCAGATTATTAAGAGCATGAAAACACAGTCAACCAGTTTCTGACAAAATCTGATTTTCTGCAGCTATCAGATTATTAAGTGTTAACACACTGAACCAGTTACTGACACAAACTGATTCTCTGCAGTTATCAGATTACTAAGTGTAAACACACTGAATCGGTTACTGACAATCTGATCCTCTGCAGTTATCAGATTATTAAGAGTAAACACACTGAATCGGTTACTGACACAAACTGATTCTCTGCAGTTATCAGGTTATTAAGAGTAAACACACCAAACCGGTTACTGGCACAATCTGATTCTCTGCAGTTATCAGATTACTAAGTGTAAACACACTGAATCGGTTACTGACAAAATCAGATTTTCTGCAGTTATCAGATTATTAATTGTAAACACACCGAACCGGTTACTGAAACAATCTGATTCTCTGCAGTTATCAGATTACTAAGTGTAAACACACTGAATCGGTTACTGACACAATCTGATTCTCTGCAGTTATCAGATTATTAAGTGTAAACACACCGAACCAGTTACTGATACTATGACCATAAGATAAATATACTGTGCTACATTATAACTGAAAAAATCTGAAAAACAAGAGGCTCCAACATGTTCATTAATAAATATGTATTTATTGTAGTATATTCTCTCCGCCACTTGGTGTGGCCTCTCTCTCTGCATCGCTGCTACTGTCCCGCTGTAGCTGCGCCTCAGTATTTCTGAAAATGAATGTTAAAAATGTACTTTTATGACATTATTTTAGCTAGTTAATATATCTGGCTACTCTGGTAGCTAGCTTGCTGCCTTGCAGATGAGCAAATTTTGCTAACTAAGTTGGATAGCAATTAGCCAGGTGGCTAACAAACACCTGCTAGATAAGGAAGGCAAGTTTTTTTTTAGGCTGCAAATTTTAGTTTTTAATTATCTACCAATTAATAACTTCTAAAGATGTCCACATTAGCTGGTAAATGACTGATCCTTGAACCCAGTCTTTACTTAGACGATAATTCAGCTAGCTGGCTGATCTTACTTTAGCAAACATTAGCAGTCGCTGAATAACTGCTAGGTTAATTGGATAAATCTATATTTTAAATTAGTAGAACTCCCTCAGTGGTGATTTTGCCTTTGAAATGCAGATAAAACTGCCTCAAAACATCAGATTTCAGAAAACTAACATCAGATTTGTTCATTACTTTCATGAAATATTGTCACTGCTAAGAGAATGGGTGAATCATCCCTCACTCACCCTCTCGTCACCGCCCTCTCTACGAGGGTCCAGCTTCTTAGCAAAGTGACGCAGGTTATCGTAGTTATGGAAGTTATAGAGCTGCACCAGATCCTACAGAAAGAAAGAGATGAAAATTTGACATCAATTGGACATACAGGTTTTAGCTATGCTAATGTACTTCTAACCATGTTTATAGATAACAGTGAGTCATACAGTAGCAGAAGCCAAATAAATCAAGTCTATTAGAAATACTGAACAATTCAACATGGTTGAATGCTATTTTTTGTGAGCTAAATCCCTGAAACCACATAAGCAACCACATTATATAACAATTCAATTTGGCTGAATGCTAATTTTGTAAGCTAAACTACAATTTTAGCCATATCTCTGAAACCAAGTAAGCACTTTTGTGATTACTTAACAATTTAACATAGTTACATGCTGATTTTGGTGAGCTGAACCCCTGAAACCATGTAAAGATCCACATTTGTGATAATATAACAATTCAAGTTGGCTGAATGCTAATTTTTGCTAGCTAAACTTCAATTTTTCACTTTATCTCCAAAACAAAATAAGCATTTTTGCATTTACTTAACAATTTAACGTAGTTAAATGCTAGTTTTGGTTCTCTAAATTAATTTAATATAGTTACATGCCAATTTTGGTTAGCTAAACCCTTGACACCACATAAGGACCCACATTTGTGATTATATAACAATTCAACTATGATAATTTTTGTTAGATAAACTTCAGTTTTTTAGCTATATCTCAAACAAAATAAACACTTCTGTGATAAATAACCAAGTTAAATGGTCATTTTGGTCAGCTAAACCTCTGAAACCACATAAGGACCCACATTTGAGACATTTCAGCTTGTTTGAATGTTAATTTTTCTAAGCTAAACTTAACTCCACTGAAAAAATACTTGCAAACTTGGCTGATTGACTACTTTTGGGTTAAAGGAGAGAAATGCTTTAAATGTGATCCTTTACTTAACTATTTTTTCAAATAATAACATCTTTTATACACCTTTTAAAGTGTATAAAACTGCGTAAATGTGATCTTTTGTTAAACTATCACTGAAAGACCACATTAAATGCCCTTTCAAAGACAGAGAGAAAGTTTGTACCGTGCAGAATTGGATGCCACGGACGCTGTTGCCCAGTTTGTCTAGAGGTGGAGACCAGCACATGATGCCCATCACGTTAGGAACCACCAGCAGAATCCCACCGGCCACGCCCGATTTAGCAGGCAAACCCACCTACAATAACACAGACACATGTTTGACGATGAGAAAGTGTCCGTCTGAACTGTCTGGAGAGGTGGTGCTCTATGTAACACTTACGTGGAAGGCGAACTGTCCGGAAAAGTCATACATGCCGCAGGAGTGCATGAGGCTGAGCGTGTTCCTCACGGCTTCGGGGTTCAGCACACGCTCGCCTGTGATTGGACAGAAGCCACCATTGGCCAGTGTGGCCGCCATGACACTAGCGCTCTCGCACGTCACCTCAATGGAGCACAACTAAACAACAAATGAACAAAAACAACTGTTAAAAACAAACATATCTCCAGTAAAACTCCCTCAGTGGTGATCTTGCCTTTGAAATGCAGATGTTAAATTGGTAAAACTGCAAACTGTGCAAAGGTCAGAGACCACCCTTAGTTATACTAAGATAACTAAGGGGGTGGTCTCTGTAAAAGGAAGGGCAAAGTCAAAGTGAAAAAAACAGGAGTTTCCAAAACGGGAGTTCAAAAACTGATTAAAAGCTCCAGAGAAAATGTGTCTCCTAACAACCACCAGGTAGACCCCAAAACTGCCCCCATCAGATAAACAGCACTTAAAGCTTTCATCTCTGAGAGAGAGGAGAAAATCAAGCTCCTTCAGATCTGAAAACATCCACAGGTGTTTCTGTCCATCCTTCCACTGTGAGAAGACGACTCAGCGCTGTGGGTCTGAAAGAAGAACCTCACTGAGAAAAGGAGACGGACACGTCAAACAAAGAAGCTGAACGATGGACTGACCACCCCAAAGTCCAGACCTCAACATCACTGAATGTGTTTGATTACTTCAGAAAATGATCAACCAGCTCCATAAAAAAAATTACATAAAAATATTTATGTGCTCTGGAGGAAATTTGGTCATTAATCATATTACCGTACATTTTTGACTACTAAGTATTTGTCATATAGTAATAAATGTTCTTAATTTATGAGCCATTAAATTAAAAGAACTAAGTCACTATTGAAGTGTCAAGTGAATCATAATACATATTTCCCAAATGTGAAAAAAACAAAAAAACAAAAAACAGAATTTCTCCCTCCAGGTTAAACAAGCCATAGAATAGCTAACATGCATGTCTGTACTTCCTGTTTTGGTAGATCAAACACACCTTAAACCAAAGAAAAATCCTTGAAAACATCATCTATCTATCTATCTATCTATCTATATCTATATATCTATATATCTATATATATATATATATATATATATAATAAAATATTATATATCATCAGTAGTTCTAAAGTTATGACTTGTTGCATCTTTTTCAAAAGCAAAGGCAAAAATTAAGGCAACACACTTTTTAAGGCCTACTTATCTTAGAAATTAATACAGATACAAGCCTAAAATTTGGTACACCATCAATTAGGCACAGTGGCATTCTTACCTGAAAATATTAAGCAAATCTTAGATGGTCAGTCATGAGACATTACAGTGATTACAAATGTATCTACTTTTCAAAATATATACATATTAGGAGTGTGAAATTATATATGCCGGGATGAAAATAATGACTTATGAACCTATTAAAATTTTAAAGGTGTTAAAATGTAGAAGTATTGAAGTAGAAAACCATTTATTTGTAGAAATATGAGAAAAAAACTGCACTGCTGAGAAAACACTGACCTGAAAGTAGAAGTCCAAGATAGAGGTCATATCTGTGCCCTCTGGGAAACACTGTAAAGATGAAGAACAAAAATATTAGCCACATACAAGCATATGACTACGCTGACAAGTGTTTTATTCAGAACCGAATTATAGGAACAAAAGCCATAACTGATCAATATTTTGAGCAGTCACCTTCTTCTCCTTCAGATAGTAGCCGATGGCAAAGTTCCGGTCTCCGGACATTCTCTCAGACTGAAAACTGGATCAAACACAAATATCTTAACCTTTGCAACAGAAACAGGGCTTTAGATTTAATAGAAAGCCTGCTTTAAATTGTCTGTCTGGTCAATTATAGGGTTTTATAGCATTTTTTCTGGACTGTTATTAAGTGTATCGCTGCTGTCAGGACAAAAATTTGTTTTTCAGTTTTAGACATAATTTTAAAATGCCTCTTGCCCTTTACATTATATCAAAATTTCATGATGAATGGACCAAAAGAAATGGCCGAAAAGTACTTGGAAAAAATCTGCTTCCATTGACTTACATTAAAAGTAAAGTAGGTTTTTTCCTTCTCCTGTAAAGTTGCCATTTTGGAGATACGGGGTTTTGTTCTGACAGCAGCTCTATAAAATAAGCAAAATAAACAGGTGACTCACGTAGCATTGCTAAAGCCCACATACTCATTCCCCGCCAGCTTCTTCATGAAGTTCATCACCTGTAAAGGAAAGAGAATAATTGCATCCATTACTAATAATCCATTAATAATCATTTCATTTTTTAGAAATTTGGTATAAATTTCATTTTGTTATTAACTACTCAAGTTCACTATCCAGTTTAATAAGCTAAACTGACACTTTTTTGTTTTGGGTAAATTTAAATCTTGGAAAAAAGTTTGTCAAGTTTATTTACAAACTACATTTAAAAAAAGAACATTGAGCAACATACTAAATGAAAATTAAGAAGATGGAAGGATAAAAGGAAGGTCATTGAATAAAATAACACTGGCAAAATAAAAAACAAACACTAAAAATAAATTTTCAGCACAAAGTTTACATGGAACAAATGAGCTAAAAATGAGAATAAAAGACAAAATTACAATAGAAACAGAGTTAAATAAAATATCCAGAAATATATCTGTATCTAAATATATTCTATGTACAAATTTTCTTAACATTTCACAGACGGCTTATTTACTGGGTGTTTTGAGCCTAGAAACAAAAAAAAAAATTATAAAGTCGACCCTCCATTCATTGAAAAAGCTGACAGCTAACAGTTAATCCCCCTGTAAAACTGTTCTCTAACTGACCATTAGAGAGAATCTTACAGTTAAACTCTACTTACATAGTCGAACTTCTCTGCATTACTTGCTCCTTGCTGAAAAACAAAGATGATATATAAATATAAGCTCGGTAATGAGTCAAGTTAAGCACCCTAACAATGCTATGAATGTTAGAAATTTGTAATTATTATATGCAAAGACATCAACAAACTTATTTAAATTAAAATAGCGCAAACGGTGGACACTGATTAATAAACTGTCAAAATCTGGCACGTACAACGTCATCAGAACACGATGCGTATTAGATTTGAGTAGCTTCACACAAACAAGTAGACAAGCAAGAGGCTATAGATTAGACCTGCAGATCTGCACATGAGTGTCTCTATTACTAAAACATAAGGTACAATATCTAATTATGATATTAGAAGAAGAGGATGGGGCAAAATTAATTATGTGGGGTGAAAATCAGGAGCGCTGAATAGTAGGGGTGGGAATTACTGCAGGCTCCACGATATGATATCTGACTCTACTGCGATATTTAAAGAATTGTGAGATGCTGAGTGTCGCATACACTTATGTAATCATTTTTTTTTCGACTGCAAATTATCGCTCCAGGAGTCTGGATCTTATTGGTATCTGGGGTTAACACATTATCCACTGCGCCATCTAAAGGTTCATTTATGCTCAACGTTAAATACGGACACAGATGGAGCCTTCTGTCCATACCCTGCGTTCATTTCGTCCGTATTTGCGCACATTCTTCGAAGGCTGATGGAGATGGACGAAATGGAGCACTACCACTGGAAGCCAGGAGGGGGCAGTGTAGCCAATAGTTCACATGATACAATGTGTAAGTTTCTCTTATTGGTAATATAAGTGAAAAAAATTCTCTGTCCACATGTTACGACCTCCTCCACCGACAGAAATCTGACTCTGGTCTGCCCTCTAGTGGATGTACTGCTTAACATCCATGCCATCGTAAAGGACTCATGGAAATATGGGGGAAATGACGGTTCTTTTTTTATATGTAAACAGAGTATAAATGAGCCTTAACCATTCCTAAAAACCCTGCGAACAAAATCCCACCAGAAAGAAACAGCACCATCTTGTGGACTAAGACAGAAATGCATTTTGGTAATGTATGAGTCATGGAACTAATTCACATGCTTGTAATAAAATAATAAAATACAGATATTCAGGCCTCCTTGTATTGAAACTATTTTTAAAACCCTAATTATGATTGGGTGGTATTCAGTTTCTTCATACCTTCAGAGTTTCAACTAATGTTACTGTAATACCAGGTCGTAAAAAATGCATAAAATGCATAAAAGCTCTGTCAGGAACAAAAAATGTTTACGTTTATTTTGTGTCATATTTCAATGGAAGACAATCAAATAAAAGGTTCAGTTTGCTTGTCAATCTAACAACAATTGGTAAATGTTAAATGGTGCTGCTAACTAGGAGAGACGAGCTGGTTAGCATTAGTTTAGCTAGCATAACAGCAGCTCTGCTCACCACAGAACATGTTCGATTCTCGCGAACTGAAGCACAAGTTTAGATGATAATGACTCAAATCTGAGCGAATGAAGTGGAGCGACTGGTGTTGGAGGGACAGAGGGGTAAAATTAAACCTATTCTGTGGTGTTTGGATCTGTGGACTACAAGCTAACCTAGTTGTTAGCTTAGCGCAGGCTACAGATCTGATCAATGACACAAGCGTAGATGATAAAAGCTCATGTCTGAGAGAGCAAAGGTCAAGTGACTGGTGATGGAGTAAAAGAAGACAAAATCGGACCTGTTCTGTGACATGAAAATTTTAATAATGGCTAAAAAAGCTCATGTTGGTGAGCACTGAAACAGTGAGTGTGTTTACATGCACTTAATAATCCGATCATAATCGGATTCCTGCAGTTATCTGATTATTCAAATGGTTGTGTAAGCAGCACACTGATTTCTTAGATCAGAGTAAGATCTAGATATCCGATTAAGAAATCTGATAAAGAGGCTGGATTTTAGCTCAGTAATCAGATTTCTCAGTGCTGTAAACTCTTACTCTGATTTCTTTCGGATTTCTCATTCTGAGCATGCGTGAAAACAGACGGCCGTACCTGAAATAAGTGAGCAGCGTCGTCGCGAGACGCAACAAAACACTTTTGGAGCGACGCCGAATCCAAATACATGCTTGACGAAATGAAGGATTTAAATATTCTTCATCTTCTAGATGATGTATGTTCATATTTTCCTCTGAAGTGACGCGATGTTTTTTTAAAAAAAAAAAACCTGTGTCATGAAGTTTGAGGTTTACGTTATGTTTACGTCACGTCTTCTTCTGTGAGTTTTTTGGCTGGTTTATTAGCAGAATTACTCAAAAGCATGTAAACGCTTTGATCGGATTACTGACAAAATCTGGTTTTCTCTCAATGTCAAGTTTACAATGCTAAAAGGGCTATATATTGGTTGGTTTCCATTAGAATAGTTCTAATCACAGATATACAACTTCCAGCACCCCTAAAAAAAGTGGACAGTGGGCTTGGGGAGATAATAAAATGGCGTATTGATGCCATCTATAGGGCGGAGTGTGTAATGCCATTAAATTTTCCCTGTACATCTCAGGTCAGGCTCAGTTCCAGCTAACTGATGTTCAAATTACACGATTAGAAGACGCAGCACAAAGTTGAGTGACTGGTGTTGGAGTTACAGCCGAACTTGTTCCGTGGCGTGTATCGGTTAGCCTGTTAGCTCTCGCTGAGCCACTGTCCTGCGTAGTTTTCCTGAGGTATTTCCTAGTTCTTTTTTTAGCAGCACATCAGACAAGAAAAGGAACCAATTCCTGGAACAATACAAGCGTGGGAACCAGCATCAGTAAAGCAATTAGAGGGTGCTTAATTCTTAAGCCTTTTTCAGAATGAATTAGTTTTACATGAGGAGGTAGAGCAATGTCAGTGACTTTAGTCCTGTCTGAATGCACCATGTCTTACCGTCTATAAAATGAGCAGCAGAAATAACTTTAGGTTTTATTAATCTCATGCAAATTGATATGTCGGTAAAAATGCTCTTATATTCCATGGAAAATGTCCTCTGTGGCTTAAATCAAGCCGATATGTGCCGTCGATATGTGCAAACCTATAATTCAGAACAATAAAATGTGAAAATTACAGAAAAATTGTTTGATTTCATGCAACGATGTTGACTGTTGGCTCAGTTTCAAAGCCAGTGACAATGCTAATGCTAATGACAGTGCATTGCCTTAAAACAGCAAGACAGCTGGTTAGGGTAAATGGAATAATGGCTAAATTAAACGTTTGGAAGCGTTTTCTCCCTTTTCTGACGTAAATAAGTGTAAATGGAGTAGCTGCTCCCATTTCTGTCATTTACAACGACATTTCTTGTCCAAATCAGTCAAAAACATTACGTACGTCTAGTGGTAAACCGGCATTACACACCTCTATGGAAAACTAAATCCGAATAGTGCTTCAGATGGGAATGCAATTCGGACATATTTCCATTTCAGACTGTTTTCAGGCAAATCCTGCAGACTAATCCCTCCTGCCCACTGAAATGTGAACAGACACAATGTGTCTATTTGGCCATTTACCAGCTCAACATGGACCAGAAACTGGAAATCATCATCATTTTGAAATGCCGGCATCATTTTTTAATATTGCGGTATTATTATCTTTATACCACCCAACCCTAAAAATGCTGCGATATTATACTGTATCGTTATTTTTTCTCCCACCCCTACTGAAGAATGCGGATTAAAGACAAAGTGATGTCTACGGCACTAAACAAGTGGCCCAGTCCACTCTCACCAGGAGTAAACAGGTGCGGGCAGTCCTTTATAGACTGTGAGTGAATTAGTTTTGCGGGTGCAAGTCAAAATAAAAAAAAAAGAAAAAAATTAAATTTAAAATAATGCACATTTTTTCCACATTGAAGAAATGTGTTTTCTGAAGAAATGTGATTTCTGCACATGAATATCGTACCATGATTAAAACATAAAAGTCGTTCCTGACACCTTTTCCATGAGTGTAAATTAACTGCAGATGAACAGCTGATGACGCTCAGACTAGCTTCCGCCAGAATCGAAATTTAGTGATTTGTTCAATGAGGAAAAAATAATTGAAAGAAAAAATTACCAACGTCATTGACATGTTGGAGTGGTCACTATTTCCCACAGATCCTAATGCTGGAAAATACGGGACAACAATATAAAAAACACAAAAAAAGTCGTGACAGACAGATCACACATTTTCCCCGGTATCGTCCCGGAGGATCATGCAGTGCTTCCTAAACGGGACGTTATAATGCAAAAGCTACAGCAGTGGTTCCGCTCGATAAAACAGACACAACCTGAACCTTATCTGCCTCCAAATGACTTTTTATCATAATTTAATATGGTCTTTAAACACCCAGAAGCTGCCAGCAGGTTCAGGCTTTCATTCTTCACATTCCAAGTTTTGCATAGTTTCATGCATTTACTAAATAAGCCTTATAAGCCTGAGAACTTAAAGGTTTAATAGTTTATAATTTAGTAGTATTATCTAGCATGACACTGAGGATGTTTGTACTGGTCTGCCCTGAGTATTCGAGATAATTAACGTTGAACGTTGCATTGTTTTTATAACCTACATCGCTAACATTAGCACTTATCCGTTAGGGCACGTGTGTCAGGATCCAGTCCTTGCGGGCCAAAACTCTGCAGACTTCATCTCATTAAACACACCTGATTCAGTTCATCAGCTAATCAGCAAGGCCTTAATGAACTGGATTCAGAACGTTAGATGAGGGTAAACGCTGATCTCCGCAGTTCTTTGGCCCGGAAGGTCCCCAGTTTGACAAGCCTGTGTTAGGACTACTATGGCTAACTTGGCAACTCTTTTCTAGCTAAGACTAAAGCTTCAGCTTCAAGGCTTTTCCAAGAACACCGTCTGAAAAAGGGGCATATTAATTTGCTTTGATACCTGAAATTACGCTTTGGGTCCCATAATTTGTTTCTATTTAAAATATTAACCTACTATTTGTTCATTTTATTTAAGAAATTAATTAATTTGTCACATTTCGCAGACATGACACGCATATGTTGTGGGTTTATCTCTTCAACAAATAAAGGGGAATTCCAATGATTTTTCAAAATGTCCGCATAATTCAGTTGTTGCGATGTAAACAAAGTCATTCAGAGTGGTTTGGTGTGAAATAGTTCAGATAGTCTTCACAGTGGTGGTGATAGGAACCAGGGGTCGCCATGACTACAACACAAATATAGACATAGAGTCTTCTGAGGTTTTATTTATAATGTTGATGATGGGAAATAGTGATAAATCTGAGAAAAAAAAAGTTTTCTATTAACAACCATTTCATGTAGTAACTTTCTGTGAGGGAGCTTTTAGACGTGGACGTCAGGTTCCTATCACCACCACTGTGAACAGTTCTGACTCTGTCAGTTTCTCTAGAAAGGAGCATTTCACACCAAACCACTCCGAATGACTCCGTAACCATTTAATTATGCAGAAATTTTGAAACATGGGTGGAATTCCCCTTCAAATAAGGACTCAATGTCATAATCTGACGGTCCTGTATTAGCTTTACTTGGCTAAGACTGACATGTGATAGGCCTACAAATAGAGCCAGATGTTTGATTTTAGAACTACAGCTGGTGTTTGGGCGCATGTGTGTGTATCTGCGCCGTGCAGAGATTAAGATTAAATTAAAAGTAGGACTTTCAGGAGCTACAGGCCGCTAACAGCTCCCTCTCCATCACCTGGTGCATCAGCACATGCACACTGTCTCGCTCTCCCTGTCACTGTCTAAAATAATCTCTTTCAGCATTATTTCTAATCTTAATCTCACGCTAAGAGGACAAATACACCCCCCTAAATCAACGGGTTTGTCCCAGCAGGCAGCAGGTGGGCATCCCACAGAGAGAGAGAACCAAAACCAGCAACACTGAGGGTTTTTCCTGTCTTATTAAACACTGACTGCTGTAAGCGATTGTACCATTTGGTCTATAGGAACAATGGAGGGGAATTAGAGGGACGTTTACCTTGATGAGTGACGTACAGACTATCGCTCCTGCGTTCACCATGGGATTGTGTGGCTTATCTGAAAACACACAGATCAATCAGTATCATTAATACACTTACGGAGAGAAAAACAGCACCACCTGCTGGACGAAGACTCTCCTGCACAGCCAGCAGTGTTTTGACTTCTTAGTCAAAATCTCGAAATTTGGTATCAAGTCTATGATTCTCTGCATACCGTTTCAGTGCAACATGTGCTGCACTGAAGAAGTTGGATTTTCAAGGGTTCTTTAGTAAAGGCAATTGTCCTATTTAGAACCAGAGTTCTATATAGAACCCTTTCATGCTCAAATGGTTTAATGCATAGTGAAATTGTTCTTCAGATCGATGACAAATATGTTGTATATGGTTCTACGGAGAACCTTTTCGAAAATGGTTCAGTATAGCACCAAAAGGGTTCTGCTACTGTTAGATATCAAGCTTGTAACAATAGAAGAACTGTTTTTGGTGCTACATAGAACCATTTTCAAAAGGCTCTCTGTAGAACTATGAGTTCTACATGAGTCCTGTTTCATGCATTAATGGTTCTTTGCATGGTGAAGTGGTTCCTCAAACTGATGGAGAATGTGTTGTATATGGTTCTACGGAAAACCTTTTTTAAAAGGGTTTATACAGAACCAAAAAGGGTTCTTCTATTGTTACACGCTGGACATCTAACAGTAGCAGAACCCTTTTTGGAGCTATATAGAACCCTTTTCAAAAAGGCTCTCCATAGAACCATGAATTCTATATAGAAACCTTTCATGCTTAAATGGTTCTTCAGATGAATGGAGAATGTGTTGTATATGGTTCTACTTAGAACCTTTTTGAAAAGGGTTCTATACAGCACCAAAAAGGGTTCTGCTATTGTAAAATGTCAAGCTTGTAACAATACAAGAACGCTTTTCGGTGCTACATAGAACCATTTTCAAAAGGTTCCCCGTAGAACCAAGAGTTCTATAGGGAACTATTTCACACTTAAATGGCTTTGCACTTTGCATGGTAAAATGTTTTTTTTTCAGATTGATGGAGAATGTGTTAAATATGGTTCTACAGAGAACCTTTTTGAAAATTGGTTCTATATAGCAGCAAAAAGGGTTCTGCTATTGTTAGATGTCAAGCTTGTAACAATAGAAGAACCCTTTCTGGTGCTATATAGAACCATTTCACCATGCAAACAAACATTTAAGCACAAAATGGTTCTATATATAAAACTCATGGATCCTTTACTAAAGAACCCTTGAAGAACCATCCTTTCTTTAAGTGTGTCCGTTCTGGATTTACATTTCCAAACTGAAGCTCCAATTTGATCCGTGTTTGAGCTCATTTTCCTTCTTCCTGACCGAATATAAACGGATACACTAAAGAAAGACATCAGGGTATTCAGTCTGAAACGGTGCTATACTTTTGCATTGTACTGTTTATGGCCACATTATATGGCCAAAAGTATGTAGACACCTGACCATCACACGTATATGAGCTTGTTGAACACCGCATTCCAAAACCATGGGCGTTAATATGGATTTGCCCCACTCTGCATATAAAAGCCTCCACTCTTCTGGGAAAACCATCTGACGAAGTTCTTGGGCTGATGTTGCCTACAGAGGCAGTTTGGTCTACCGCTTGTGTAGCTAAGCTGAGCTGTTGTTGCTCCATTTCACAATTTCACGAGTATTACTTAAGCAATAGAACCAGAGAGGGAGTGTGAGATAACACTCTCCTCGAGTGTTCTATTGCTTTTATACAACAGTTAAATAAATAAAGTATTAAATAATAAACTGGGTTGTGAACTGGCTTGTTGCTACATCAGAGTAACGAACTCTGCCCACTCGCTGCACAGCCGGCAGTTCGTTCTCCAGCTCCTTACACTAAATTCCCAAACTGTCATCACCACTGAGCAGCTTTTCAGTCGGCAGCTGTGACAGAAGAACAGCTAAACAACCTGGAATCAGCCAGAAATGAACCTAACACCATTCGCCAAACTAAACGGGCTGTAAGATGCTTTACAGACTGGCTGGAACAAAACAACATTAATACTGATCTGACAAAAACTGACAAAACTGAGCTAAACCTGATATTGGGTCAGTTTTATGGCTCAGTCTGATTTGGTCAGACTCTGAAGATCAGACTACACGTTTGGCGAATGGTGTTGGGTTCATTTCTGGCTGATTCCAGGTTGTTCAGCTGTTCTTCTGTCACAGCTGCCGACTGAAAAGCTGCTCAGTGGTGATGACAGTTTGGGAAGTTAGTGTCGTCTCATCTTCAGAGTCTGACCAAATCGGTTGTCGGTCAAATGTGATCTTAGAAGTGTCCATTTTCTGTTTGTGTAAAACGGCGTCTCAGCAGAGTGATACGGTGTTTGTGAAAAACCCGTGATGTTATGGTGAAATATCAGCACGGTTAGAACGCTTCTCAACCAATCAGCTCGCGTGGCCGGAACTAAGTGCTGTATAATGAATATTAAAGCGTGTCTGTGCGTTCCAGGCGAGAGTGTCTCACCGTCTTCGTTGAGGAACAGTTTGTTGAAGCGCAGGCCGCTGGGCTCTTTTCCGATGAAGCGGTGGACGTACTCCATGCCGTGGTCGTGAACGGCGATGGCGTATTTCAGCGGCTTCACGCACGACTGCAGACAGAACGGCACTTTGGTATCACCAACTGTGTGTCTGTAAAACAGAGAGTGAGAGAGACAGAGAGAGAGAGAGAGAGACACACAGACAGAGAGACAGAGAGAGAGAGAGAGAGACAGAGAGAGAAAATACACCCTTAAAAAAAAGATGTTTCTTCAAGGGTTCTTTAGTAAATATAACGTTATGTATGGTTCTGTATAACACCAAAAAGGGTTCTGCTGTTGTTATGATGTCAAGCTTGTAACAATAGCAGAACCCTTTTTGGTTCTATATAGAACCAGTTTCAAAAAGATTCTATATAGAACCATATATAGAATCACATTCTCCATCAATCTGAAGAAGCATTTAAGGTGCAAATGGTTCTTTGAGTGTTCCTGGTTTTATACAGACTCAGTGTCTTTCTTAAAGAACCCTTGAAGAGCCATTTTATTTAAGAGTGTAGTTTTAGGATCCATAGGGTTCTACTACACTGTGTATCTTATAACTACACAATTAACTAAGATGGTTCTGCAAGAGTTCTTTATTAACAGATCCCGGTCTTACCGCTGTCCGTCCACAGTACACAGAGAAACTGCCCACAGGTCAGGACTGAACTTGGCCAGCTGGGGAATGTAGTCCGCCACCTACACAGATCACATCATCATCACTGACAGTGTAAAATGTGCCACAGTTCATCAGAGAGGTGTAGCTTGTGCTGGTAAAAGTACAGCAATGTGATTGGGGCAAAGTGGGCGGGGTCTGCATGACGTTTCTGGGGATACATTTTTCCAGGATTAAAGGGCTCATTTCTTGGAACACTGAATTTCACTATAAAACACCATGAGACACCAAAAAACACCAATAAACACCATCAGACACCAACAGACGTGAGCAGATATTGATGTTTGTTGATGTTGATGTTTGTGGATGTCGGTGCTTATTGATGTTTGCCGGTGTCTGTTGGTGTTTATTGTGTTTGTTGGTGTCTTTTGTTATTGGTATCTGCTGTCGGTGTTTACTGTTGTCTGTTTGTGTTTGTTGGTGTTTATTGGTGTCAGTTGGTGTTTGTTGGGGTTTATTGGTGTCTTGGTGTTTGCTGATGTTTGTTGCTGTTTGCTGTATCTGTTGTTTGTTGGTGTTTGTTGGAATTTATTGGTATTTGTTGGTGTTTATTGGGGTCTGTTGGTATTTATTGGTGTTTGTTGGTGTATATTGGTATTGGTATCTGTTGTCTGTTGGTATTTATTGGTATCTGTTATCTGTTGATCTTTGTTGGTGTCTGCTGGTATTTACTGGTATCTATTGCCTGTTGGTGTTGATGTTTGTTGGTGTCTTATTTATTGGTATCTGTGGGTGTTGATGTTTTTTTGATATTTATTGGTATCTGTTGGTGTTTGATGTTTGATGATGTCTTGGTTTTTATTAGTGTCTGTTAATATTTATTTATATCTGTTCTCTGTTGGTGTTTACTGGTGTCTTGGTGTTGGCTTTTATTGGTGTCTGTTGGTATTTATTGGTATCTGTTGTCTGTTTATGTCTGGTGGTGTTTGTTGGTGTTTACTGGAGTTTGTTGGTGTCTGTTGTCTGCTGGTGTTTATTGGTATCTGTTGTCTGTTGATGTTGGTGTCTGTTGATGTTTACTGGATTTTGTTGGTGTCTGTTGTCTGTTGGTGATTAATGGTATCTGTTGGTGTTTATTGGTATCTGTTGTCTGTTGATGTTGGTTTCTGTTGGTGTTTGTTGATGTTTACCGGAGTTTGTTGGTGTCTGCTGTCTGTTGGTGTTTAATGGTGTCTGTTGATATTTGTTGGTATCTGCTGGTGTTTGTTGATGTTTGTTGGTGTCTGGTATTTACTGGTATCTGTTGTCGTTTCCTGATGTTTGCTGGTGTTTGTTGATATTTGTTGGTATCTGTTGTCGTTTCCTGATGTTTGTTGGTGTTTGTTGATGTTTGTTGGTGTCTTGTCTGTTGGTGTTTGTTGGTGTCTGCTGGTATTTATTGGTGTCTGTTGTCTGTGGGTGTCTGTAGGTGTCTGTTTTGTTGGACCACATCAGCCTCACCTGTCCACCAGAGAGTTTCTTGGCGTTCTCATAAAGCTCATCGATGTGTGATGTGAACGACTGGAAATCGGGAATGACAAACTTCCTTCGGAATGCCTGAGTGAGCAGGACAATGTTACTCTGGACACACCTGCGCACACACACACACACACACACACACACATACACACACACAAAAGGAGAAAGAAACAAAGAGAGAGAGAAAAAGACTTTTTTTAAAGAAAAGCTGATAACCATACAAAATATTTATTTAAAACATTCAAAATAACCTGTAGGTATTGTTTATATACATTCTAATATATTTAACACAGTATTACTAACACAGTCTCCCTCAGCCTCACTTCTGCTCTGCTGTTAGAGCTTTTTTCCTGAGGATAAAGTAATTCCATCCGGAAATTTCCGCTTGGTATTAATGGAAACACACACACACCCCTCTGTCGGGGGTCGGGGGATTTAAATCCCTCCCACGCACGGTGCATCACTTATTATGAGATGCACTGAGCTGCATGTGTGTCAGTAAGCAGGAGCAAAAGATGTGCTATAGTAATTTAACGCATTCTAAACCCAGCCAACCCAGTTCTGCTTAACTCTAGAAGTCTAGCGTTATAGATTTGCTATAGCACTTAAACATAATTCCATAATTAATAAGAGTGAGTTACATAATGAACTACATTTGCATTTGATTTACATTCTGTAACAACAGGTTTGAGTCTGTTCTAGTTTTTTTTTCTTTGTTTCAACATGAAAAAAGTACAAAAATATGACTAAAAAGTGAAGAATGAGAACTTTAAATCATAATAAAATATCTCCTTTTCTACTTACAAGCAAAAATGATTTATGGATTCAGAGTTTATTATATTACCATTTTCCAGCCTCTCTTTATCCCTTACAATTAAACAGGCTGTTTTTGTTACTGTGCCTTTAAGACTGATATATGCAAATTAGATCTGCTCTGATTGGCTGGCCTGTATTGTGTCTCATTCAAAAAGCAGTCTGGGGCTGAAACACTCCTTATGACTTCAGCATGAATGGGCGGGGCTAAACTGCTGCAGGATGAATGTAAGACGTGTGTAAATGTATTAGTTTTTATGACAAAGCCTGTCAAAACAGGCTGTTTTTGCAGCTTAGCTTCCATTTATGGATGGTATAGACTGTGATATGACATATTACATCAAACTCTTTCAATAAAAAAATTAGGAAAATTCTATTTTGATACAATATGTTATAGACCCTTTAATATAAAAATAATTGAAATGTCTAATATTGGTCTAATATAAGGGTTAAACTGAAATCAACGCTAAACAATAGTTGTCCTCAAAAAGCCCAGTGCAGTTCTTCTATTCCAAAAATATTTTAGTAAAACTTCCCTGCCAACAAGTGTCTGAGCACAGTGAATCTTTTATGTGCAGCTGTAAATGGTCAGTCACAGAGTGGCCAATCAAAAGGCTGGACGGCTGAATCAGCTATTTAATTATTGATACTGGGAGACTGAAACAGGAAAAGATAAGGACGTCACTCTGAAGTGTGACGCCAGCCTGGTGCTCCGGTGGGACTTCTGAGTGTGTTACATTCCCACAACAACACTCAGCCAAACTACAGTCACACGGTTTCATCAAACTAAAACAAACACCTTCACACACTTTACATACTCGCACATTTGATTCTGTGAATTGTGGGGACATTACTTTGACTTCCATTCATTTCCCGGAGACCCAAAACTTAATCAAAACTACTATTAGCTTAATCCTAACCCTACCTTCAGCCTAACCTGAGAACATGCCTTTACCTTAAAATTTAATGATTGACCTTGTGGGGACCCAAAGGAAATGTCCCCACAATGTGGCATTAATGTGTCACACACACACACACACACACACACACACACAGTCTTGTGAGGACTTTCATAGATTTCTATTGATTTTTGTATTACTGTAGCCAAGTAATACTACACCTAAACCTTAGTCTCCAAACCTAAACCTCACCCTAACCTTAACCTCAGTCTCCAAACCTAAACCTGATCCTGACCCTAATCTCAGTATTCAAAACCTAAACCTAAACCTATCCCTGACCCTAATCTCAGTATCCAAACCTAAACCTAACCCTGACTTTAACCTCAGTATCCAAACCTAACCCTGATCTTAAACTGATCTTAGGCAATTTTTCCAAAAAATTGAACTCGTAGACCAGCAAAATGTCTTCACTTGAGCAAAAATGTCATGCTGTCCTGTCATTGTGAGGACATCTAGTCCTCACAAGGATAGCAAAACGTGTACACACACAGGTAGTGCTGCAGTGAGAGTGTGTGGCTCTTACTTTTTAAAGAGGTGTCGGTCCAGAGCTCCATCAGACGTGGTCTTCAGGGTGATCTTCAGCATCTCCATACACTCCTTCAGACGGGGATCACCTGTTCGCAGACCAGTCGCTTTCAATGCCTACACACACACACACACACACACACACACACACACACACACACACACACACACACACACAGACATATACACTTAAATGACCTGAAGGTCACTGCATGAATCAAAACATCTCAACCAACCTCCAAGTTAGCTGGATAACACAAGTAAAAAGTAAAAGGTGCATTAAAACCCAAGGTGTGCTGAGTCTTGTGTTTAAAAAGAGGCAGGACAGCCTTCTTGGGGCAGGTTAACACATTTGATTCACAAGTAGGTAAACAGAAGACAGCGAATTGAGCACGAAAGACTAAGATGAAACTCAGAGCTCCCTCAGTAATACCGGTCCAGCTCAAATCGACATCTTAGCAAGGTAATAGCAAAATCGGCTAATAGAACACAGACAAGGCTGAAGTCGGCTTCTTATTCGTCAACTTCTTGTTTGAATTTTCCCGTTCCACCTTATATGTTGCAGCTCAGGTGCCAGAATTAAACCGCTGCACCATTTAAGGTGGAGCGGGAAAAAAAAGAAGCCGACTTCAGCTTCGTAAAAATTGGCGCCTCCTATTATCTTCGTGAAACTTGGCGCCTCCTAAGGCAAGGGGGCATTTGGTAAGTTGAATGACCCCACTTTACTTTACTAGCCTAATAGTAGTCTATATCGTTCAGCCACACAACGTGTGGTTATTGTTCGGAAGTGTGCCGCCTGTCGCATAAAGCTGAAGTAAACTTCTGCACGATTATGTTTTAATCCGGGCTGTTTGAGGTTATTTAGGGAAATTTCAGAGATTCTTTATCTCGCACGAATTGACCTGTCAAATCACGCAGATATCACATTACTGGACCTCCTCTGCTAAAACCAATCCAGCTTGAAAAGGGCTTAGCAAACAGAAAACTCTTTTTCTCGTTCACATTCCGATAATCTTTGCGTTAAGTTTGCGTTAAAACAAACTTTTCCTCCATTTTTGGTGTGTGAAGTGTGTCATACAGTGTGAAAAATGAATAAGCAAGTTTACTGGAGATTATTTAACAACTTCGCACTGTCTATGATGAGCAAGTTTGAGAAGGCTAGCTTACGTTACCATAATCAGTTGGCCAAAGTTGTTGGTGAGATAGCTTGACATTTGGTAAGTGAAAGGGACAAGGTAAGGGCTATGGGTAGTTACTTCCCTAATAGCGTCAGCTAGTCTAAATTACTCCTTTAAAATAAAAGGGCTAAGGTTCGCTAATATATTATACATATGATAGAACCACGGCTTAACTTTTCTGAAACAATCCATTTGTGCTAACAAATTTAGCTTTTTACCTAAAACTTTTACCTAACGCAAAGGGAGTTACATCACCTGTGTACACCTGTGTTCGATTACTGAAATCACAATTCAGGTATTTGTTACATTTCATCTCAACAATTTTGCTCATATTTGCAAGTAAATATGTAATACTTTGCTTCTCGGAAACATGAGTGCCTGAACGTGAGCACATTGCTGAGGACGCTTTGTTAAGGACGGAGATTGTGTATATTTTATATATCTGTCTATGTGTGTATATACATATATATATATATATATATACATACACATGTATATATGTATTTTATATGTATTTGACAAGTAACAGATAAGTGCTTCGTCCACTAATGAGGAAACTCCTTGTACAGAAGACGATGGCTCCTCATCAGAATTGAACGTGACACTTGTTAGCTGCGTTAGCTCATTAGCTCATCTGAAGAGAAAGCCTTGGTTGCTCATTCAACACGAAAACCTACAGATTTCTCCGACCTTCTAGTAGCTGGTATATTTTTGTGCAACACCAGTGCCGTCACCTAAAAAGGTAAGCCCTGGATATCCGTTCATGAACTCTTATATCAACATTCCTTGGAATGCACACCCTTAACCACAACACATCTAGCTTGCTAGCGAGTTCATCTTCCTACAAAGGTATCAGTCCCTAATTCCACAGACAGAGAGGCTGGAATGATGGTATTACCGTTTTTAGCTATGTGACACACTTTTGTCCGTGTTGATAGGTAACAGTATTTACCGTGGTAAACTTGTGTGCTGGGATTTTTTCTTGACCCTCTGCGATGGTGTAGAAGAGCAGGTCTTCCAGACTGGGCAGGATACCTGCCTTCCTTCTCCTGTGGACCAAACATACACACGTATGAGCAGTGAGAGACCAGTCGGACTCTCTATAGAGGAGAAACACAACCATCAGCAGGACAAGCTGCACTGAAAACGACAATAAGCGTTGATTTCGTATAATGAGCTGAGAAATATTTCAACTTTCCTCTCAGAATGTCAGTCAGCATCGGACAAATTATAGTAACTGAAAGATGAACACGAGCAACTCTATCGCTGCATTCGACCGAAGTGCTTAACCTGGAATTTCCGACCTCCAATTAGGAAAAAACAAACAAACCACATAGAGCTGATGTGAAGCATCAAAATCTATGTGGCTGCTAATGGCGCCCCTTGTGGAGAATCTGTAGCCTGCAAAACATGAGTGAGTTCCTTGACTAAAACCAGGATTTCCTGAATCTTTTTCTATATTGAAGGTTCTAGATTTTTCCATATTGAAAACACGAAAATGTACATATTTGTTCATGTAGCCTGACTGCAAATATGAATAAATGTGTACATTTTTTATTGTCAATATAGAATTATGAAAACTAATAAAAGTATATTTATTCCTTAAAAACTTCCTTAATAGGATGCAGTTGTGTGCACAGTTGTGACAGTAGCCTTTACTACACTAGTTTCATTTTACTATACAGTCTACGCATTTTACAAACAACTCTAAAGGCTGTTTCACACTAAACACAACGCGAATAAGCAAAACGGAAAATATACACACCGGATGCGGCGCTATTTTTTGGGAATTTCGCTAAATTGTTTGCGCCATGAAAACAAGTATAGAATATCCATCAAAAAGTTGGGCAATCGACATTGTGCTGGATGTTTTCTAATTTGGAAAAGCGAAAAGAAGAACGTGCAAATAAGATCTTCACTCTTTAAGGAACACGAACGGCCACACTGGACTGTCAAACACTGTCCATTTTGGAGACACAGAGAGCTTCATCGCTTCATTCAGGAGCTGAAACCTGGAGTTCTTCCTCAATAATCTCAGATGTTTGTAGCTCAGTTTGAGCTGTTTTTGGAGATTCAGATTCTTTTGACGTTTGTGAAAAAGTTCTAGTTGCTGTAACAGCCAGTCCGTCATCTTGACTGTCATAATGCCAAAGCCAGAGACGACCGGGACTGGTCAGAATTCATTTCGCCAGTGAAAGTCCGCAAAAGTCGAACAGAGGTCAAATAAAATAATGTTCCACTTTCACTAGTCGAAAACTTTTCCAATAACTTTTCCAAATAAATAAATCGATCAAATTTATTTATTGTTGTCCGAATAAATTGTGCTCGGTGTGTAAAGGCCTTAAAAGAGAAGAGTCATCACGTTTTAAGCTTTAATTAGTTCAGGATAGATTAGATATTTTTTTGGACTTGGCTGTTTAGCTGAATGGTTAAGTCAGGCCTGAACAGGGACGCACTTGTTCAATTTGTTCAGTCATTGCAGCTCTTAACAATCTGTTAATCATGTCATAATCATATTATAACAATAAAAATACTTTTTATCATACAGCCACCAACTGAGGAAGTCAGGAACGTGTCTTCTGAGTTTAGTACCTCTGCTCTGTTGTTAAACGAGACAGACATAAACACAACATTTACCATAAAGTTCACTAAGAACAGTTTTAAGAAGGTGAATATGTACTAAACGTACAATTTCTCACTCTAGCTCAGGGTTCGGCAACGCAGAGCCATTTTATCCTTTCAACGAAAATCAAACCACCTTCGGAGCCGCAACATTTTATGTCCATTTTACCATTTTGGCTGTAAATACGTCTCAGTATGTGCTAATGTGCTAATATTGGCTAAAAATTATAACATAAACGAAAACACAGACTTACTTTGCTCTGCTTTAAGCTTTAGCTCAGCTATAGCTGCTTTTCTCGCATCTCTGGCAGGAAACTTTTCCTCAAAAGTAGAACAGTTTCTTGTAAAATGTCTCTCAACATTCGACTTTTTACGAGGCTGAAGTCGCTTCTCATTCGCCAGCTTCTTGTTTGAATTTTCCTGTTCCACCTTAAATGGTGCCTGAGGCACCAGAATGTAGCTGCTGCACCATTTAAGGTGGAACGGGAAAATTCGAACAAGAAGCTTCAGCTCTGTGACTTGTTAGTGTTTGACAGTTTCCCGTTGCAGATTAAACGTATCAGGAAACCAGCTGGAGTGATTATAAACACTAATAAGTCCATTCATCTCCAAATTATCGATGTTCGTCTTAAATCTTTCTCTTTGCCGTTCCGTTAGCTACTAGCTAGGCAAGATTGTTGTCTGTGTTGCTATGTAGAACGTTACACAATTACAAGAATGTGAATGTCAGAAGGGTTCTAGAGTGGAGAACACCAGAGGTATTCTGGCATAAAAAATGCCAGGGTGGGTGTCAATAATCACTTTCATAGAGGCGTCCATGTTCTTTCCCAGGTGGAAATTGACAATTCCGAGCTTCCGAGTCGAATGCAGCGCACAGTGAAAGTTTATTACTGACTGACTGGCATTGAGAGGCAGTTGAAACCTTTTCTCATGAGGAAAAAGAGGAGTTAGTTGGTTAGAGGTAATAAGAGAAGCCTGAAATCACACAATACACACAAAACCAATGTATATATACCATAAATAGACTAGTTAAATACATTCAAACATTAAAAGGGACACTGTAATCAAGTACTGAAGGACGATGGTCCAGTGCATTGTGGGATAGCTATGGCTTCACAGCTGCGGAGCTTTCCTCCATATTGGAGAGGGACTTTGGAACAAAACAAAACGAGGTATAGCTTCAATCAACGAGCCTAACCATCCAGAGGAGAACCAGGGAGGGCGGCTGCATTGCTCTAGTTTGTTTTATTGTTTTTTATTTATGCCTTTAGTGCATCTTAAACTCATTTTAGCATTTTACATGCATTTATAATCACAAACAACCCCAAATAGAACACCTAAAGAACTGTTGGTAATGGGCAGAATGACTTATAGGCTGAAAAGGTGATCTTAACAGACAGTATATTCAGCCATGAGTTCTAGATAGCAGCAGAACGCTGTGGCTTGTTCCTGCCTCTTACGCAGACTGCTAGAGTAATCTTGACCAAAGACTGACAGCTGGCCCTGTGCTGATGCAATCTCTGGATGGCTGAGAGCGTTGCAGAACATCAGAAGGGTTCTAGAGTGTGGAATGTTGGAGTGGGTGTCAGAAGGGCTCTACAGTGTGGAACATAAAGGGTGGTGCTATGTTAGGGTTCTAAAGTGGCACATCAGAGAGGGTGTCAATTAGGCTGTAGAATGTGGAATGATGGAAAAGCTCTAGAACACGGAATGTCAGAGGTATTATAGAAAGTGTTATGTCAGAAGGATTCCAGAAAGTGTAATGTTCGAAGGGTTCCCAAATGTGGAAAGTTGGAGTTAGAAACAGAGAGTTCTAGAGTGGGGAATATTAGACACATTCTAGAGTGTGGAGTGTCGGCATAGGTGTCAAAAGGGGTGTAGAATTTGTATGTTGGTGAAGGCGGGACTGGGTGTCAAGTTCTAGAGTTTGGAACAATGGAATGGGTGTGAGAAGGGTGGAACACTGGAAATGAATGAATGTGGAACATTGGAAAGCCTCCAGATTGGAATGGGCATCACAAGGTCCACAGTGTGGAATAACAGAGTGGGTGTGAAAAGGGTTCTAGAATGTGGAACATTGGAAATGAATGAATGTGGAACACTGGAAAGCCTTTAGATCTGAATGGGGGTTACTAGGTCCACAGTGTGGAATAATGAAGTGGGTGTGAAAAGGGTTCTAGGGTTGGATATGACAATTGTTAGACAATTCCAAGGATGTGGATGTCAGAAGGGTTCTAGAGTGGGGAACAGTAGAAACATTCTAGCATGAAATGCCAGTGTGGGTGTCAAAAGGGATCTAGAAATTCGAACACTGGAGTGCACAGGAGTGGGTGTCACAGGTTCTACAGTATAACACAAAAGTTCTAAGTGTGGACCGTCAGAGTCTGTGACAGACGGTTCTCGAGTGGGAAATGTCAGACATATTCTAGAGTGTGGACGTCAGAAGGGTTCTAGAGCACGGAATGTAAGAATGAGTGTGAAGAGCTTAAGAAAGTGGGATGTTAGTATGTAAGTGTAATGTGTGGAATAATAACAGTCGTGTTAGCAGGGTTCTAGAGTGTGGAGTGTTGGATGGGTGTCAGAAGGGTTCTAGAGCGTGGAATGTCAGAAGGGTTCTAGATCGTGGAAAGCTTCAATGCTGGTAAACAGGGATTTTGGAGGGAAGAAATGAAGACCAGTTAGCTGCAGGGCACAATACAGAAACACTACTGTGGCTAAAAACAGAAAAAGAAATAAAAGCAGACAAAAAAACATTTGATACTTACACAACAAACGCAAAAGCAAGCAGATCAACCGAAGGGAGAGAAAATATACAGAATGAATGAGAGATTTGCTCATAAAACAGGCAAAACAAAAACAACACAACACACTGAAGATAAACATAAAACTTTATACTATCGTCATCATCATCATCACTGCCATTATTATCATGATATAAGAACACAACATTGAGCAGAAACATAGAGTGTTAATACAATAATATACAGTAATTTCAAGGGTCTGATATTCCCATATTGAGGTATCCAGTGGTGACTCATTACTATAAGAGCTAGGCCTTCAGTTCAGGCCATGAATGTCAAAGATAACAAGATAAGTAACTCGTTATTTCAAGCGAACAATTTTGTTATCTTGAAAAAACAAGATAAATAACAATATTTCAAAATAATTTTTGCTATCTTGAGATAACAAGATAATTAACTCATTATCTCCAAATAACAATCTAGAAAATTAGAACTACCTCATGGCCTCTCTGGACTCCTGTAAATTTCTGCTAGTGATCCTATGGGATTTCTAATAGTATGTTAGCATTAAGCTAACATTGAATTTTTTTGGCCATTCTTGATTAAACATAAATATTTGAAGCTTGTAACAGATATTAACATACACTTGAGTTTGTATGAATCAGCTTTACAGGAACTCCTTCAGT